GACACCTCTCAGGAAGATTATTTTACACAGTAAGATCTGATACCTGTCAGTATAATAATAATAATACATTATATTTTTATAAGGCTTTTCTAGGACTCAAAATCGCTTTACAATATAAGGCAAGGTTAGGCAAACTTGATCAACCGGCATGGATTGATGGGGGGTGGGCTATGAGTAGACAAGAGGAGAAGAGATGAGTTTTGAAAAGGGACTGGAATACTGTGAAGGTCTCAGAATAGCGGAGATCTTTAGGACAATATGTTCAAAACTAAATATTATACAAGTGATTTTTTCTTAACCAAAATGACAAAAATGGCATAAAAACACATTATTCTAATACGGGTCCTTTTTGACCCACTTATGGAAGAGTGTAGGGTCCAGTCACTCGTGCATCTAAGGGTTAAGCAAACGGTGTCTAATCTTTGTTATTCCAGGCCTCACTCGTACGCTCACCTGGACATCCCGAACCCCCGCTACCTTGGCCCGGCCATCTCCTCCGGGGCCATCTACCTGGCCTCCTCCTACCAGAACAAACTGCGGGTCATCTGCTGCAAAGGCAACCTGATCCAGAGCCAGGAGGGCGAGGGGGAGCTGCAGAGGAGCGGCTCCGGGCGCAGGTGAGGGAACACGAGGAAATAACCTCGTTCACACTCTCTTTATTAACTCATTCACACCAAACTACTCTCTGGTGTTGGGTCTTAGTTTGGTGACATTTTCATAAAATACACTTTCAACTTCCTCCTACATTTGAAGGCACCATGCGTTCTGAGATGCAACATATTCTTAAGAAGTTGGATATTGACACTCGTATTGAAAATATGTTCGACTCCCGTTCCTAGATTGTCTTAATGTTAGGCATATGGAGGACCAATCTAATAACACACATTTATATTTATTGCTCAAAAACATTGAAATGAATAAATACATTTACAGAATGCACAAATGAGATGAATTCCCATAACTGTATATTCACTCTGTCTTGAATTTAACTACCAATTTAGGACACCCCATAAAGGGTTTGATTGACCCATGCATTATTGACTTATTGATGAATAAGTGATGATGTGCCTTCATTCGCTCATATTGCTCAGGAAAACCATTCTGAGGGAATAATAAATCCTGCAGATGGAAAAACAAAGTCAAAGATGAGACACGGATCTGCGTTTATGTGTTTATTTCTCTTTACCTGAGCATCTTGTTTACTATATATATTTGTTTGGGTTGGGTTTAGTCCTCCTTATTTAAGCACTCTTACTTCACGGGTGTTGCTGAAGGGTCGATGGGACTCTGCGGGGCTCAGGTTGGCATCCACACGTGGTGATGGTGAAGTCCTGGACTTTAGGTTGAACTGGGTTTAAAATAGGGAAGTAATGACTTCATTTTGCTCTTTACAGGAGAAAGATTTCCTTTTTTATCTGTAACAGATCCTGAGATACGTCTTTCTCAATTATAATTGCTTTCTTAAAGGCCTCCTTTCAAATGTAAAATAAGATCATTGTTGAATAAAGACTTCTGACTGAGATTGCCAATTTGAATCTCATTACCAGCTGAGCCTTTGTTACTCACTGTGCTGCTACTGAAATCTCCGCATTCAGCAAACTAAATCACGTGGATTGGTTGATTCAAACCATTAAGAGCAATGTGCTGCAGCGTCAATAATAATAAACGTTATTGTGAGTCCATCATCCTCACCACAGCTGTGCCTGACCCCACGTGCCAAGCAGAGCCCATGACCCAATAGAGACACAAATACCTCCTCCTTTGACCCCCCCCCCCCCCCCCCCCCCCGCCCGTCTCTGTGCCCCGGTTCTTCCCTAACAGCCCTAACAAGCGCGGCCCCCCCTCCTACAATGAGCACATCTCTAAGAGGCTGGCAGGCAATCCTCACGGAGACCCCGGGACCCCCCACCGCTACAGAGAGGCCCGCACAGAGTTCAGACGGGACAAGTCCCCGAGCCGCCCGCTGGAGAGAGAGAAGTCGCCCGGCCGGATGCTGGAGAGCCGGATAGTGGCGTCTCCGGGCCGGGGGGCCATGGCGGACCCTCGGTTAGAGCGCTCCCCGGGCCGGGCCATGGCGGACCCCCGCATGGACCGCTCTCCTGGCCGCATGATGGACGTCCGCAGGGAGCGCTCCCCCGGACGGTTCGAAGAGCGCCAAAGGCTTCACACTGGCTCCGGTCGCACGCCCATAAACCAGGTCAACAAGGTTCGCTTTTACTGTTGAATATTCTACTATAACTAACTGCTACTCCACAGAGCTGCAGACAGGGGGTACTAAACGGGTTATTTGCAATGTGGCTCTGAGGAAGATAGACAGTCAGTGACCACTTTGATCATATCTGTGATGACATTTATGCTCACCTTGAGAAATGCTGAAAAGAGACAAATGTTCATTAATTATGTATATCTGGTCAAAAGAAAAAAAAAGTTCTTACGAGGAAATGGTTTTTAAAGTAGAACATGAAATGGATGTATGGACATTGTAACAGACATTTGTAAAATGTACACGATAACAGCAAATACCAGGAATTGGGAAACTAAGTTGTCTGTGTACATTTTTAAAGCTCTTATTTTTACAAATCTATGATGACATAGTGAAGAAAAGAGAACCCCCTTATTGTTTGTTTTGATTTCAACTGAACGTATACAGTATTTATGACATTCTATACACATTTAAAAGGAATGGTTTAATGAAAAATGTTTAAAAATATATTTTGTTTGGTTAAGTTTTTAACAATATTCCTTGGTGGGCCATTACTCCATGTTTAATTAATAACCCTTATCTTTGACTGTTTCCCTCAGGTTTGGGACCAATCATCGGTTTGAGGACAGCGGAGCCACCCATAACACGGACAGAGAAAAGCATCTTCTGTAAAAAGGGAACGGAGAGAGCAGAGAACCAGTGCGAGTGTCACCAATCCATGATGAAAAACACTGCCACACGAGTTTTACTGACATCTAAGCCGACAACCCGCAGAGGAAAACAACTGTAGCCGTCAGAACAGAGAGAGAACCACAGAAATAAACGGATGTCATTAGAATCGGGTTATGTTTCTCACAGAGCTCATCCGAGTCAATAAAGGTCAACAAAATGCCATATTCAACAACATCTTCAGTGTATTTGAGTATGCACCTGTAGAAGGGATTAGTCATTTGATTGGATTTCTGCTTCCAACACAAAATCTGGGAAATGAGTTTGTGACTTCAGACCTGACTCAGTGGTAGTTCCAGTTTACTCCAGACAGCAGTGACAACAATAAATAAGCACAGCCGTAGCAACACAAATCGATGCCTAAAATATTTCAAAAGTCAGTCACTAGTGAAAATGGCAGAATAGTAGTAACACGACGTCCTCCTCTCAGCTCAGCTCCGTCCACAGTAGCATCAGATCGGGGCAGGATAATGTTTCTGGCTCCAGTCCTGCGCTGACATGTCAACAAACAATCATTATCAGCTGATTACAATCAATCTGCTAATCTGCCCTCGGTTACTTTAGGTGACAGGACTTGGCTGGAGCACAAAGAAATATCAATACAAATCAACAGAACCCTCCCTGCCCTGTAGAACCACACAAACACACCATTGTCTGCCCTCACATAGGTCGACACTAAAACAAACTGCACTACCCACAATCCCCAGCAGGACTTTCTAATCCTTCAGAACGCTATCTGACTGTAAATAGACGAGACATAATTTTATATATATTGAGAAGGAATTTCAAGGCTGGATAAGCCATGTCTATTTTTGTTAAAGAAAAACAAGTGATTATGTGTCCTCTTGAATGTCCAATGAGTATTCTTTTAATATGTCCGAACATCCTTTACTAAGTGAGTGATTGTATCTGGATCGTGTATGCACTTCCATCCGTCACAGGCAAAACCTCAGTGCTGAACTATATGACAGGAGGGGGAAAAGATGACGTCTGAAGCTTTCAACATAGTGCTTGAGCATTTCTTTTTGTACCACGTCCCTAATACTGTATATAACCCAAACGTGTTAAAGGTGGATGAAAATAATATTTGTTTTTCTCCTGGTTCGTAAATGGCATGGATATGTATATCTGAAATGAAACGGAGTGTTGTCTTCTGCTTCTGTCTCATTTGGGTTATATTTTTTATTCTGAGATTTAACAACAAAGCACGTGATTAAAAACATCTCCTTCTTTTAAAATACTAGCACAGTAAATTCACGAGTATAAACACTTCAATTTTCTTTTATTTAAGGCACTCTTTTGACAACAGCCCAACCCAACAAAAACACTTAAAACCATCCACTTGTATTGTTAAACTGCTTAAACGTGACCTTTATTTTTATAGATCATAATTTGATCTATAGAAATACAACATGTTTGTGGTTTCCAGTAATACATACAGATGAGATGTCACACGTTAACTTGTCCAGTGTGTCTGTTAACAGCAGGGCCCTCAACAGGAAGTGTACTCAACTTTCTGGATCAGCTTTGGTTCTTATAATATGTTAAACTCTTCGTGAATGTATTAAATCCGAGAAGGTTGGTCACAATTGATAAACAAAAAGCACCCAACGCTACAGATTGCACAAGCTTTACACTGGTCTCTACGGGACTCTATAAACAAAAGGGTTTCCCGTCTTGTTTTATTATATTTTTCAATCATTTTTTTTATTTGTATCTAATCACATGGTCCTGAATCATCATGCCGTAACGCTGGATATGATATTGATGTCTGCTAACAAATGTTTTATTAGCGTTCCCTGTAGAGATTTTGTCACAGAATATTAAATATTATAACCATTGTCTTTAACTGCCTCCTCATGTGTTGTTTAGTTATTATTAAGTGCAGACTCAGAGATCCATCATGTGAGAAAAGAGAAAACAGCTTTGTGCTTTCTGCTCACACTTGAGGCTTGCCTGCACTGAAAAAACTGAAATAGTTGACTTTAATTAAATATATTATGTCAACAGATTTCACATAACTGCATTAAGTTAGTTCAAAGCAATAATATTTAGTTTAAATAAATATATAAGGGTTCAACTTGATATTATTGCTTTCAACTAACATGATACAGTTATCTGAAATCTGTTGACTTAATTGAATTAAAGTCAACGTTCCAGTTTTTTCAGTGTGTGAAATGACCATTTGTCAACGTCCATTGTGTTGTCGTCTATTTTTAAACGTCTGATCACGGCGCTGCCATTCCTGTCCCGGTAGCTGCAGCTCAAAACTGAGAAGAGCTGAAGGGGTTAAAACATTTTCAACAATAGCATCTGCAACAATAACTCTTCTGGCTCTCCGTGTACACAGCATGCTGCGGGATGAGAGCCAGGGACATCTGCTGTTGGTTCATCAGCAGCTTTTGTGTGACAGTGAGTGCAGGGAGGCTTTCAGCGCCTCTTTAAATATAGATCGCCTCCGCACCCCGGCCCATTCATCTCATTTTCACACACAGTCACTTTCCTTGACCTGAGAGCCACACGTGACACCGGACGACGTGTTAATGGTGTAATGGCACATTGTTAAGAACGTGTTCAATGTCAGCAGATCTCCCTTGAGTATGTCGCACCTTCTGCTGTTGACAACATCGAGCTTAGTTTTACAAGAGTGCAAACTATATACGTAATGATTATCTTCATCATCCTCAAATCGGAAATCTGAAATATCTCATTGTACATGTATAATGACATTAAACTATTCTATTCTCTATTCTGATGCTTGCTTTCTATATATATATATATCAGTTAATTGTTTGGATACAAAAGTTCCATCCCGTTTTCAAAGTCCGTGGAAATGTCTTTAAATGTCTTCAGTCCAGATAGAAAGAAAGAAGCGGAAGACATGTCATCATAGATTCATACAACATTTTTTGTCAAAAATGGGAGGAAATGCTAAAAATGTATGAATCTATGATTTAAAAGTTGGCAATTATTTTTCTATCGACCTATACATCGATTTATTGTATCAGCTCTTTTTCTTATAATTTACCTTTTTATAATAGTATCAGAAACAATGTGTGTGATTATCTGTTTCATGGACGAAATGGGACAGATACATTTACCATTGAGAGAGTATGAGGACACATACTGTATTGTTAACTGTGTGCTGTGCAGGCTGTAACATATGAAGCGTGTGGGTTAGGGTTAGATGTGACTAATAAGGATGGCCGTAAAACAGTCCTGACGGGTCAATAAATCGCACTCAAGGAGCTTGTGATTTCCACCCGTCTTGAATCGAAGGAAGACAAGAAATATTTTGCACACACTTCAGAATTTTAAAACAGGTGTGATAAAGATTTTGTTTGTAAAAGTAGGGACATTGAATGAAATATCCTTCAAGTTAACATTTTACCGGATATATATTATTTAATGAACATTTGTTTCTTCTCAGAATTTCTCAAGGTGAGCATAAATGCACTCAAAGCACATCTATTCAATTGTTTACAAATATTTACTGTTTCCTTTTTCTCTTGGTTTGTTGATTTTAAAATCTTATTTTAAAAGTTTTTACTCCATGTTTAAAATATGTATTATTCTACCATCACCAGCTACGTCCTTTTTCTAACTTATGTTTAATTTATATATGTCATGCATTGTGAGGACAAACTGCATTTAATATTGTTTGAAGACAGAACTGGAACACACAAGTATAAGCACACTTTGAATGGTCATAGTTATCTATTTTAAAATTATTAGATTTAGGTCCAATAACTGATGACCGAAATTGCCTGATTTCTGCAGATAAATTCCTTTTGTGACTTTACCCCATCCCATTTGGCTAAACCTGGGTGCCCTTAGCACCATTTTTCATATAAAAAAAACATAAACATGAATCTGTTATTACCTTGCCTTTCTATAGTTTGGACTGCTCGGTGGACAGAGGGCCGTTTAACCTCATTAAGTGTTTTAACCTTCAGTCTGCTCTTGATATTCTTAACCAGTTATTTCAATCTCTTTGTCTAATGTGTGTGTTTGTGTGTGTGCGCTTGTAAGCAGCCATACTGTATGTGCTGTATGAAGCATCATTTACCTGTCACTTCCTAAAGAGGACATAGTTTATAAATATCATCCAGTGGAGCTGAGGGTTGGGACTACAAAAGGGCGCCCACCGTCTCCCCATTGTTCACTGAAATCACTGTTAGCCTCAGCTGCTCAGCCATGGTAAGTCCCTGTGTGTGTGTGGGATGCTGTCTGATGGCAGATGTGGGACATGATTTGGCTTTCAAAATGCTAACTTTATTTTTGTATCTGTGGCATATTTCCACACTTTAATCTTTATATTTTAAACATTTAAAACGTGTGATATGTCTTAATCTGAACTGAAACATTGTGTCATTAGCGTAATGAGATGAATAACAAGTTTGAGGCTTGATTTGAAAACATCAATGGATGGAAAGTAGCTTACCTTGACAGAGGATTCATTCTTAAAAACGTGTACCGCACATTGGATGTATTGCAACAGCCTTAATTTAATGCATCCAAAATAACACCATATTTTTCAAGGACAAATAATCACGATGTTTGACCTGCTGCAGGATACTAAAATTAGTCAATGTTTATGTGTATGCACTTTGTTATGGTATTTTCCCTTCTGATATAAAGCTATTCAACCAATTGTATTGCTGTTGTATAGTTTTAACTTAACTGCCATGAGATTTGTATTGAATTTATTCTTCTTTCTTTGTGCAAAAAGGCCCCCAAGAAAGCTAAGAAGAGGACAGCAGAGGGAGCCAACTCCAACGTGTTCTCCATGTTTGAGCAGGCTCAGATCCAGGAGTTTAAAGAGGTGAAAACTGCTCAACCAATATCGGTCCCCCCGCTAATTAAGATTTTGCTCACACATTGTAGAAATGACATGTGAATATGCATGTTAGCTCACCATGTTGAGTATTATGATCATGACTCATACTTACACAGCAACACATACATCGTTTTCTATTTCTTCTCCGTCCTCCTTTGTCTTTCCATTGCCATTGTTCATCGGTGTAGTATGCCCACCTGTCTGTTTCCCTGGCCCTGGCCTGGTGGTATGCTGGTGTGACGCTCAGCGCTGCTCAGACATCCAGACGGTGTCAGCAGTGATTAGAGCTGCAGATAAACTGCTGGGCATGCCCTGGATGCCGGGATAAACCTCAGCGCACGGGTTATTAATACTTAAAAGTGCTCATCTTTAAAGAGGACACACAAAATATTCAAGGGAAGACTGAGAATGTGACATGATTTTCCTTTCTTTCTGGGAATTGGGTTGAAGCATGTGGCTGCTCTCACTTATCAATACTTTGTATGTGCCCTCAGGCCTTCACTATCATGGACCAGAACAGGGACGGCTTCATCGACAAGAACGACCTGAGGGACACTTTTGCTGCTCTAGGTACGTTGGCATACCCCGTATTCAGTCCTACAAGGTGCTGTAGATTTATTCATTATTATTGATAAACGACAATAGTGTTTGAGGTTTGTTTAGGGGTTAAAGCTCAACAGGACTTAAGATCCATATTTCTCTAGAGGCGACAAAGGGTTTGGTTTACTCAAGAATTTGGCAATGATAAAGTGTTAACAATTAAATGTATTGGAGGAATACTTTCATGGTGTAAAGAGCAGACCATCATTTATATACAAACTGAATTATCACATGTTTGTGTTAACCTTTTGGAAAAAATCTAATTAAAAAATCTGTTAAGTATTACAAAACCAAAGATCCAGTACTCAAGTATATAGAAGAAGAAGAAGAAGAAGATGGACCTTTATTAACCCCCCGAGGGGGAAATTCAGTTTCCACTCTGTCGTACACACACATGCGTTTTTATACAGGTCATATAGTACACACAGTACACACTTTTTAGAACATATACAAATACACACACAGTTATATGCACACATGCAGTTGAGAGGTCAGAGCGGAGGCAGCCAGTCTAGCCGGCGCCAGTGAGCAGTTGGGAGTTAGGTGCCTTGCTCAAAGGCACTTCGGCAGTGGCCCAGGAGGTGAACTGGCCCCTCTCCAGTACCAGTCCACACCCCGTATCAGTATGTTCTTACTGCCCTAGCAGAAACTCAATCTGCTTTATTCAGTTGTTCATATGTTGAATGTGTGGTGCCACAGGACGTGTCAATGTGAAACAGGAAGAGATTGATGAGATGCTCAAAGAGGCTCCCGGCCCAATCAACTTCACCGTCTTCCTCACCATGTTCGGTGAGAAGCTGAAAGGTAAGAACAAACTGGCTAAAGATGTACATTTATTTAAAAAACATGATCCAACTGTGAAAAGTACTGACTGTTTTGATGTCTCCAGGTGCTGATCCAGAGGAGACCATCCTCAACGCTTTTAAAGTCTTTGACCCTGAGGCGAAAGGCTCGCTGAAGAAGGACTAGTAAGTGATTTTAATTTAGAGGAGAGTTGTGTTGGCGTTTTACTCACAATTTAAAATGGCATCTGAGTTTGACTGCAATGATTCAGCCCAGTACGGCTCCCTCTGGACCGGCACATTTCCTCCTGGTGCGCACAGGCTTCGTCATCTCATGCTGTATTTTTTCTCTTTTTTCCCATTCAGTGTTACACAGATGCTAACAACGCAAGCAGACCGATTTTCCCCTGAAGAGGTATATTGTAGAACCTCATTATCATAATTATGTCTGATTGCTTTTAGCGTGGGTCCATAAAACAGATACACGTCATCATGACGATCATCTAGATTCACGCCAAAAACAATGAATCATCATCACGCATCTTATGAATGCTAATCAATTGTTTTGGTGAAGTGCTAAATCACTGTTAAAGTTAGTCCTAATATCTGTTTTCTTCTTTGCTAGATGGAGCAGATGTTCGCTGCATTCCCCCCAGATGTGGCAGGAAACCTGGATTACAAGAACCTGGTTCACATCATCACCCACGGAGAGGAGAAGGACCAGGAGTAAACCGTTTCAACAACAAATAGAACGTTTATCTTTTGCCCGTACATGACTTGAACCTGGCCCGTGAAGGAGATTCTGGCCCTTTGTTTTTGCTGCGTTCTGCTCAGTTCTTACTCAGGAGCCCAAGACAAAATGTGCGTTCACAGGCCCCAAAAATGGACAGTAACTAAAGTGAGCTTCCTCTCTGCTACCTGTATGTTCTTACATTCAACTGAGGCAAACAAAATATTTTTTATTTACCATTACCTACGCTTCACCACACCATCTATGTATTTTATCCAACTGTTAGGTCTGTGAATGTTCGTCTAATAAAAGTTTTAAAATACTGCCTGTTTCTCATTCTGATTTTTAAACATTTGATAAAGACAATGGGGAAACAATTCCAAACAGTACACAAAGTATGTAAAAGAGGTGACCTGTAAGTCATATGTTTACTGTCTCGGCAGATTGATGCTTGAACACATGGCTATACCAGTGTGACTCCATATTTGGTAGTGAATGTGTCTACTCAACAATAGTGTGTGTATGTCTGTGCATGTGCAAAGTTATTTGTGTATTGTGCACGTCCAAGCATTAAAATGTTTGGCTACTGAAGCAGAGGGCTTTAGAGAGACAAAGCCCTGCTGTTATTTTAGTGTCCTGATGATGTGAGGAGGGATATGCTACACTGCTGCTGGTTCAGGCAGCGGGGGACACACAATAGGATGCCACAAAGTGATCCGAACCCACATCTACTACCTCACTAGACTTACAGTAGGTGGGGTGATGTGAGGTGGGGGGAAGATCCCTGGTTGTTGGCAGCTGGAGGCTCCGGGGCGGGGGCGGGGTATTGCCTTCTGAAGCGGTTAGGGATAAAGGCTTGGATCACACAGGACATCTGAGCACACATGATTTGAGCGCTATATGTTTCTAGGAACAGACTGTTGCAATTGAGGGAGAGGAGGGGAAAATATGGAGCAGATTGTCCCTTTAAAGGAATGCTCCACTCATTAGATAATTAATCAAAACTTCAGTATTTAGTGAAACATGTTTAAACCATACCCTGAAGAAATCAGCGATATTCCCCGGTAAATAATGATTTTATAGCTCTTTTTTTATCAAAACCTGTATATTCCGTCAGGCCGCTGCCATTTTGCCCATTTTCAGTAGTCACGTGATGGTCGTGACGTCATCCATGCGTTCACTTTGTAAACACACGAAAACATGGCGAAGTTTTGAGCAATATGAAGAGATTGGAAGGGGGAATTCAGCCATACAGGTTCGAGCCTACTTAGTACTACTTAGTAGATACAATGATTTTGATTACTAGATATGTATGCATGTAGTACCACCCTTGCTAGCGATTCCCTCTCTAGTTTAGCATACTCAGCCTCGTTGTCCCTGGCCCTAGAACCACGATTTTATGGGGCCGGAAAAAACTGGGGGGAAATACCCACTAGCCGGTACTACGCTATATGGAAAGGCCACCAAAAACTGGCCTGGCCTGGACGATAAAGGACGTTTAAACGGGGCTACCCGCTGCAATGGAAATGCGCCATAACATACCTTATTCTTACTCCGAGCACTACTTCTGGTCCTCCGTCGCTTCACACTTGCAGAGGGCGATTTCTCAACTGGCCGAACTGGTGTCCTGGTCGGTGATGACACCAGAAAGACCGATGGTACTGCATCTCCATTAAGTAATGGTTGTTTAATAAATCCCATGTTATGTTTTATCATACTCATAGTAGTCGTCCGGAAACTTGAAATGTTCGCTGCATACATGCGCCTGTGGATCTTTCGGTTCGGGCCGGCCACACTTCGCTAGCCACTGCCTCCGAACGTACTTCCTACGCTTACCTTTTGGCAACAGATGGAACCGAGCATTCCGTGGATTGTTCCTATCAGAATTGTGGCAATGTTTCGCGATACAATGAGGCATATTTGAAGAGAGTAACTACAGTAAATAACATGAACATCAACGTGTCCTCGAAACCAAACGCACGGTAAAATGGCGCCGCCCACAGTGTTGATGTTATTTCGGTAATTAATCAGTTTAAAATCACTGATAATGTCATCGGATTAAAAAAAAAAAGAGAGAGAGACTGGCAGAGACTGGTCTGTTTTATCGGATGATAATTATTTAAAAATGAGTGTCATGAGCATACCATTCCTTTAACTTTAGCTGTGCCTGCTAGCCCAGATGAATGACCGTTATCTTAAAATGAAATAACAACGTTTTAGTTCTAGGCAATAAAGCATAAACATAGCAGGGCAGCGTTTATAGCACTTATACACAGATTACTGCCAAACTTGTATTTAAAATTTAATTACAAAAATTATTTATTTATTTAATATAAACAGCTTTATTCATATTGAATAGCTTTATTATGGAATTACGATTGGCTGTAGCCTACTGTACATATATGTTTTTCCACCAAAATAATACATTCAGATGAAACCACTTTATAATCACCAGGATGTTGTTAAGTGGCTGTAATTGAATTTCATAATTTTCCTCAGAAACCGTTACTTATAACAAGTACATTTATTTGTAATGATGTTGTGCATTCAAGTTACTCCCAATAGCATCTAAAGAGACAGATATTTCACTCAGGAGTCGGTGGAGGACAAAACAGCACTTATGTCAGGATATTAAACTTACAATCATCAGGAGGCCAGAAACGTAGCTCCAAAAAAAACACTAATGTGTCTCAATATATCTGCAGGATGTGTTAGCCACAACAGCTTTATTAGCTGCTAATATGCTAAAACATTGTATTTTATCTTGAAGAGTTCCTCTACCCCCATGTGTCAAGATAAACCCCTGAACGACGCTTTAATCTTGATGCTCTCATATGAAAAACAGACATTCTCCGTACCCAGGGCCGGCCCTAGACTTTTGGGGGCACTAAGCGAGCTTTGGCTTGGGGACCCCCTCACTCTAGCGCGTTCTCACTACACACAACACGGAACCAATTTTTGTCTTATGATGTTAGCATAAGCACACATATTGTATAAATAAGCATGTAAACACCGTGGACCTCACCTTCTCTAGGGGGGTCCGGGAATATGCTCCCCTGGGAAGATTTTTTTTAAAATATGGAAGTTAAAAGCATCAATCTGGTGCACTTTGAGAGCTAAATTAAGAGATCTATGGATACATCTCTCAACACCCAGATGAAACAGAACTGTAAGCAGATTGTTCTTTATGGATATTTTACAAATCACTTAAACTGTATTCTTGTTTTGCCATATAGTATTTCATAACTGTTTTTCATGTATTTTCTCTGGCTGTCCATCTCATAATGTTCACATAGAAACTAGCTGACAATAGGAATATCATTCAGAAGAATTATAATTTCTTGCAAAAATCTCCCACAAAAAGAGGTAGCACATTTAAATTTAGATGTTGTTATGGCAACGTCAGTGGCCAAACAGCTGCTGCAAATACGTTCAAACATGCTGTCGACACGTAAAGCAGTGGCAACTATGCCACCATTTCAGCTAACTTTTTCTCAGAAATACTGTCACATAACATCCATATCAGGGACGGGTGGCGCAGTGGTCTGTGCGTTTGATCATCAGATCAAGGGGGCGTTGGGGAACTCCAGTTCGAAACCCGCTCCCGCCCCACTGCGTCAGGCCGTTGTGTCCTTGGGCAAGACACTTCACCCGAATTTGCTCCTGTGGGTATTGTCCACAGTAGATGACCATTACATGTATGTATGATCTGTATGTGTAATGTGTATTTGTAAAGTGCTTTGAGAGTCATTGGTAAAGCGCTATAATAAATATAAGGATTATTATTATTATTATTATTATATATTTCAGTGCTAGGTTTATGCTTAGCTAAGCTAACTATGAAACACTTTAACTGACAGGACTCAGGATCAACTGTGTAAGGTAGCTTTTAGCTTCATGTCGAACAGTAAGTCAACATTTAAAGAGCTTTCTTTGAAATCACCAGGTAATGCTAAAAAAGATTGTATGGCAGTGTTTATTTAATATATCTGGCTAGCTATAGCTACTTGCTAATGGTTTAGCTTACCCCTGCGTTTGTTTGTAGCCTTTATTTAACCAGGTGAAGCCCCTTGAGATCAAAAGATCTCTTTTTCAAGGGTGACCTGCAGGACATTAGTTACACATGTAACATAAAAACAACAGAACAACAATAAGGATGACATACAACATAATGTACAGGGTACAGTTTACAAAACTCTATTTACAGTGACAGGTACCATGAGTATCAAACAGCATGTCACCCAGCCGAGTTTTAAAATGATGCAGGGGAACCAAAGTGCTCAGTTTTAAACATGTTTGCAGACTGTTCCAATTTAGTGGAGCTGCACAACTAAAAGCTTTCTTCCTTAAGACAGTCCTAGCACTTGGCACATTTAATAAAACAACATCATGAGATCTCAGGCAATACGTACTTTCAATTTGTCCAGAGATTAGATATAAAAAGGTAGTTTACCCAACATGGCTTTATAAATGAACATGTACCAATGACTGAGCCTCCGTACAGTTAGTGAAGGCAGACCTGAGTAAGTGCTTTACAGTAAGTAACCAATCTCAGAGCACTGTGATAGGCAGCATCTAACTTTTCCAGGCAATGGGCAGGTGCATTCATATAGATCAAATCACCATAGTCCAGCGCAGGTAAAAAGGTCACAGTGACTAGCTTTTTCCTGGCTTCAAATGAGAAACAGGACTTGTTTCTGAAAAAGAAACCTAGTCTAACCCTCAGCTTTTCAAGCAGATTAATGACTTGAAGTTTAAAAGTAAGACAATCATCAAGCCAGATACCAAGGTATTTATAACAGTTAACCACTTTGAGTACTTGTCCTTGCATAGTAACAATATCCAAAGCAGTGTCTGTAGTCTTTTTAGCTTTAGAAAAGAGCATTACCTTGGTTTTATCAACATTTAAAAGAAGCTTAAGCTCAGCGAGCTGAGTCTGAATAATGTTAAAAACAGCCTGTAATTTAACACCAGCCTCCTGAATGGAGGGACCTGCACAGTACATCACGGTATCATCCGCATAAAAATGTAAAGTAGCTTCATCCACATTTTCACCTAAACTGTTGATATATATAGAGAATAAAAGTGGACCTAAAACAGAACCTTGAGGAACACCATTAGCAATGTTTAACCACTCAGAAGACAGCCCATCAAAGTGAACACATTGGGACCTTTCAGAGAGGTAGTTCACAAACCAACCCACTGCATGGCTGGATATGCCGATACTGAGTAGCCTCTGCTTCAAAATGCGATGATCAACTGTGTCAAACGCTTTGGAAAAGTCAATAAATAGAGCTGCACAACTCTGCTTTTTATCTCAAATACTCGTAATGTCATTCACAACTTTCATTGTGGTAGTAATGGTGCTGTGTTGCTTTCTGAAGCCTGACTGATGTTTAGACAGGATGTCATTCTTACATAAAAACTCCTTTACCTGTTCACTCACTAGGCGTTCGAGCACCTTCGCCAGAACTGACCATTTAGAGATTGGCCTATAGTTATTTAAAATAGTTGCCTCCCCTCCTTTTAGTAAAGGCAGGACATAACCTGACTTCCATACTTTTGGAATTGCATTTGTGCTGAGGGAGAGGTTAAAAAGAGTAGTGAGAGGAAGAGCAATAAAATCTGCAGCTATCTTTAAAAAGAAAGGTTCTACGTTGTCCGGGCCAGCCGGTTTCTTAGGATCTAGCTTAGATAAGGCTTCATGAACAACATTGACAGTAAAAGGAGTAAAACTGAAAGGGTTTTCCAGACCACATTGTTCAGAGTCACGGATTGGGGTGTTCACAGCAGCAGAGTTAGTCACAGAATCAAACATAGAACCGCAGGACACAAAATGCTCATTAAAGCAATTTAACATAGTGGCCCTGTTATAGAGCCAGATGCTGTGGTAAGGCAAGGAGGTAGCTCATTACGGATCTCACCGGTGGATATCGATTTTATGGCTTTCCAACATTTCCTAGGATTATTTAGGTTTTCTGTAGTTACTGACAAATAGTACTTCGACTTTGCACTTTTGACATTTGAAGTGAAGCTATTCCATAGCTGCCTAAAACGCAGCCATTCTACCTCTGAGCCTGATTGCCTAGCCTTTGCCCAGGCCTTGTTTCTCTCATGCAGGAGTCTAGGCAGTTCAGCAGAAAACCAAGGATTGTCTCGTCCCTTTACTCTAAATTTACGCAGGGGTGCATGTCTATTAATGATCTCCATAAAACCAAGATAAAAATAAGACCATGCAGTTTCTACATCAGCACACAGATCTATTTTCCCCCAATCAAACCCAAACAGATCATGTACAAAACCCTTCTCCACAAAATGTTTTATGTCTCTTTTAATAATAATACGAGGTTTAAACTTTTGGACCTTAGATTCAAAGTAACGTCAACGTAGCTGTAATTTATGCTTTGCTTACATGTTCACATAACTTTGAAGTTTACTGACATTTACATCTTGTTTGCCTGGCTCGAGTGGTGGCTCTGGGGTTGTTGTGTGAGCCACCACTTGAGAATTTTCGTCTTTTTTAAGAATTGTTTTTATTATGTCCATCTTCAAAAACTCTGAGTCCGACTGACAGTTTATTTTAAACATTGTTACAGTTCACAGGATAGGTACCTCTCAGCCAATAAGACATGTTTATTTCCATTCAACTCTCAGGTTGGTCTGGTGACTTGCCTCTGTTGCATTCACTGAACACGGGAAATTACAATCCTGCCGTCCTCTCTAGTGTCATGATGAGGTTCAGGTAAAGCACGGTTAATGTATTATATTATTGACTCAATAATATAATATATGACTTTGAGATTAGGCAATCTAGGCATATTAACAAAATTAATTAAACATACTTATCATGGCGACGGTGTACTGAGATGTTTTTTTTTTCATGTTTTCATTTTTTTGTTGTGCTAGGGGGCCCCTTAGTGGCTGCGGGGCCCTAAGCGGGTTCCTTAGTCATTGACATTGTGGATATACCAGGTTTGTACCTACATTTATGTCGCTTAATGGGTCGGGCCGGCTCTGTCCGTACCTATGAAATTAAAATGTAAATAATATAAAAATACATGTAATTCTGATTGAAGAAATTACAGGAAAACAGGGTTTGATGCTAGCTGTTTATTGCCATCAGAAGTGTCAGAAGATGTGACGGCGCTGAGTCTGTCTGATCAGGCAGACTTGAGCGAGCGTACAGGAGATTTGCCGCGCTCTGTTTCCACCCTCATTTCGTTTTCTGTGACAAAGACGTATACAGTTGAGCAGTTCCATATACAAACTGTTAAATACAGCATTGTTAGTTAAAGTTAAATGTGTGTAATACCTGGTAGCAGCTCAGAGTTGGCCAACAGCACGCTCAGAGGATCCATCTGCTCCTCTTCCATGTTGTTGGCCTGGATCAGCAGGTCACTGATGCTCTCCTCGAGGATACCTGAAGTAGAATGAACTAGGCTCAGTGAAATGTATATTTACAGCCAGGTTTAAGAAGGTAAGAGTTCACTTACTGGTGAAGTGAGCGACATTGTCAAGATTGACAGTGACAGCTTCTGGCATTATGTGGTCTAAGAGGCCGCTGATGGCTCCCGTCAGCTCGCCTAGAGTCGTCTGAACATCAGAGCACCGCTGCTCCAGAGAGTCTGACAGACTGCGGTTCTTCTCCAACTCAGACTGCAGCACACACAGATACAGGGGAAGAAAGAGTTCATGAGAACCATACAACTGTGATCTTTATATGAAAGACATATAAAAAGGTCAAAGATTTGTTATCAAAAGGCATTTTCATTGCTCATTTCCTCACTGAGGATGCTTCTGTTAAATCATTTGTCATATTGTCAGGCTTGAAAGTAATGGATTACATGTAACGGGAAGTTCTAGTTGCAGATACATGAACAAAAGACGTAATCAGATTACTGTTACGTTTACTATGAATTGGGGATTTTTAGCAGGATTACAATGTGACTCAAAAAGTCTGTTGTTAAAGAAGCAGTGTATTTCTTCTTTGCTGTAGGCCTACTGTTCTGCAGGCTAATTTTTTTCATTAAGGTTTTCACTTTCTTTGGTTGATTTGTTATTTTTTTTAATTCAGTAGGTAAACCTATATGTTCATTAAATAGTAGGCTATGTGTGAGCTTAACTCTTTTTATTAAACTAAGCGTCTTCTTTTAGCTCAGATTTTATTTTAGTGAGGGGACTGAGATACTTATGTGGAAGAATATATACCGTTTAGAGGTAGTGTCTCACTACACCTCGCTTTGATCTGTACGTGTTCAACTCAAATGTTAAAATGAACTTGGAAAGCTATAGGAAAGGAGACATCATATTTTTGGATGTGCGACTCACATTTGCAGACAGAGAGATAATTCTATAACTCATAAAAACCTTTAAAGTATACTGGGTCATGTCAAAAAAAGATGCATCATTACAACAAAGCTGTTTTTTAGTTCCTTAGTCATTGACATTGTGGATATACCAGGTTTGTACCTGGAAGAGGTGTTGCTAGGAAACAGCTTTGAGCCAAATGTTCCTCTTGTGAGCTACCGTCATACAATAATGATATGTTATTAAAATCCTGTTCAGCGTCACTGAACTAGCTTAAGAGGCCGTACACATGAGCGTCAACAGCATCAAACCAGGGCCTACTTATAGTAATAACAATAATATAGAAATGATGGACTGTATGATGTGATAAGACTCACTTCTAGATCCTTAAGCGTGCTGTTAATCTGCTCATCATGTCCTTTGTTCTCTTCCGCCAGGAACAGGATGTCACTCTGAAGGAGAAACCCGTGTGCATTAATACAAATGTACACTATAGGTTAAACTGTGAGTGTGTAAACAGGATATATGCACATGCCTTCATCTTGTCTGTGCTGTGCCTCAACATGTTGCTTTTTTTCTGCAGCTCATTGATATAGCTGATACGAGCAAAATTCTTCTGTTCGTTTTGAGCAAACATGTGGGCGATTTCTCGCAGGTCGCTCTCTTCGGTGACCTCCACTAAACTGCTGTGGCCCTGCAGGTACATCTCCAGCTTCTCAACTCCAGACTCATCCTGTTGCTGTTTCTCTGTAACAATTACGGATGCAGGCTAAAAACAAGCTGAAAAACATGAAATCTTATCTAAATCAAACATGGGGACCAAGCCTCTGGAAGCCCTGAGAGGCAAGTAAGGAATATCAAATTATTGGATAAAGTTTCAAATCCAAATGACTTACTCTTCTGTTGTTGTAACTAAAGTACAGATGAAACAAGGTTTTGCAGGATAGAAAAATGATAGCCTAAGTGTAAATTCATATAAGCATAATATTCATTGTGTTTTGAATGAATGCTCATTTATAACATGGGGTAGTGGAGCGCTTCAGCCTCTTGTGGCCGAAAACAGTATTACAACAACAAACAGCTGCAAATAATCTGCCCAAATCCCCCCCCCCCCCCCCCCCCCCCCCCCCCATACTCTTTAATTGTGTTAAAGATGAAAAAAATGATGTTACTTAGAAAATACATCAAGAACCCTGTACAACTTTTGTTCCCCACCTGGTTCACAGATGAAAACAATTATGGAACTTAGAAAGATTATTCAACTAGTAAAACTAGTCATATAAGGAGAGAAAAAACAGACCACAAACTAACACTTTTTTTTCTTACGTGCCTCTCAGGGACTAAGTACATGCATGCTAATATCATACTTCTATTCTTGGAATCGTCATTTTCTTCGAAACAAATAACTTCCTGGAACTTGGTCTCCATGAAAGTCTGCAGTTTGACGTCATGGTCGATGATTGTCTTCAGCTGCATCCTTCTCTTGGTAAAGTGAGCGGTCTCCACCTCGATCCACTCCCCCACCTCCAGCATTCGGCCCTCTGCCTCTGACCTGAAGAACAAAACAACACAAACACACATCAATTATCTGCCCCCCCACCACCATGTTTTCTACATGCACTCAAACATGTGAATCACCTCTGTTGGAAAGCCACAGTGAAACTCTCCTCCATTTTCTCTGTTTGGTTTAGCTGTGTAGCCAACTGCTTGTTGAATTTCTTTGCAACATTGCACCATAAGCCTTTCTGTTGTAGTAGGTGAGCTATGTCTTTGCGATGATCCATGTTTCTGCTCAACAACCCGTCAAACCTTACAGTGTACTACAGAAGATAAAGGAATAATTAGACTCACTGTGATGAGGAGTTATCAGTTTAAAATGTGTGTTTATAACAAAGCAATAGTTTAACTTTTGGGGGGGGAGTATAAGAGTACAGCAAGTAGCATGTTAGCTGAGCTTAGCACAAAGACTGAGTATGTGAAAATATCTAGTCTGAAGATATCAAATCCACCTACTAGCACCTCTAAAGATTGTTAACACATTAGATGTGGTGTTGCATTTTGTTGCCACACTATTTATTGGCTGAATGCAGTGACTTCGGGAAAAAGTCATGGCTCCCCATACTTTCAGTCTCTATACTAGGCTACACTCAGTATAGAAGTATGAGAAGCGCAAGTCTTCTTATCTTACTCTCAGCATGAAAGCAAATATGTGTATTTCCTAAAATGAATAACTGTATGGTACTGATTTATCTGGATGGGACCTAAAGAAAGTTGGTCTTTCTTAGCATGACTACCTGTTTGAGATGGTTTTCTAAGCTGCGGATGTGTTTCCAGTGGCGGCTTTGCTTCCCTTTTAGTTTGAAGAGACCTCCTGGGACTGTTAGCTTTTCCTGGATACTGTTCTCTGACACAGTTATCTGAAACAACACAGGAAAGAACACACACTTTGTACAACACACTTTGTAACTATTCAGACAGTCACAGATTTTCTTTGGTGCTGGTTGTAGCACATTGAATTTGAAATGAAACATACACATGTTAACTTTCGGCTTTAAGTTTGCTTGAACAGTGGAGAAACTACAGGCCTGTCAATATCGCCATAGTTTGAATAACACTAAAATGGAGCAATTACTCTACAATTCAGCCACTATTCCCTTCATATGTGTAAATAAAGTAACATTTAGGTTATCTCCCTCATTGCTTTTGTTTCATTTCCAATCTAATGTGCCCTCAACTTAATTAATGATAACACAAAATAATAATGATGCCCATATCTGACTGTACTCTGTCTGAACAAATAGTAAGAGCACAATATTCTGTACTAGTCTGCTAATGCTAGTATTACTATACACATAGTACTATTATTAGTACTGTGACATCTAATACTTATGAAGCAAAACATATAATATCTAAACAAAAACAGAGATAAAAAAAACTTTGAGTGCTACATAAACTGAGTTCAGACAATTGGGTGAAGGTGAAACCCACACTAACATAGTACAGTATATGTCCATGTTAGTTTACCTCCCTTTCCAGAGAGACCAATTGATCTTTCTGCAGCCTGGTGAGCTTCTCATATTGGTCCTTTTTCTCCTGCAGGCTTTTGTATTGCTCCTTTAAAATGACTGTCGCCATCTTGATCTAAAGACCTGACAACATTTCAAAGTAACGTTAGTGATTAGCTGGTTATTTTCCTCTCTCAACTCCACAAATAAGTAATATTGCACATACTGTTGTAAAGTTTTTACTATTTCCAAACATAATGACCTACCTGTCAGATTTGGAGTCAAATCTGAAATAAATCTAGTTAAGAAGAAATTTAACTAAGAGGAGAAATGTTTTTAAATGTTGATCTTAATCTTTCTACTAAAACTGAAGGCTACAACATTTCTCAGATTCAAACATAAACATTCTAAAATAGTCTGGTTTGTTTACTGTTAAAGTGCCATCAAAATAATACTTTTACACCTTCAAATTAATCATAATTAGTACCAGCTTTATTGACCAAGTTTATGTACACATATATGTGATATAATACAATTAATGGAACTAATTAGAGTATTAAAAGGCACTGAAATGAAACGGATGCAACTGAATTTTTAGTGGTGACTTAAACTGAATCTCCATCTGTATAACTTAGTACCTGAACGCCCCCCAGAGGCCATTGAGGAATTTACACGATTAAATACACAGTATAAATGGACATCTACAATGTTAAACAAGGGCTACAGTGATCAAAATGTCCAGAACATGTCTGTAATAATAATTGTAATAATGAATTCCTGGTAAGAAAACCTATAAATGATCATGCAGGACTGTCAAAGTGATATGTTCCACAGAAAACATGATGACATGACATGCAATGAAGTCACAATATGGTTACTATCATCTAACTGCTGTAAATCCCTGTTGAATACTATAGTAATATTACACCAATTATTGATCAGGAGAAGCATTTTAAAGGGTGCTGATGTTGCAATAAGTGCTCTATTGCAGACTTATATTGAGATTCAATACAGCTCTTATGTGTCATTAGGTCTACTCTACACCATTGAGAAATAATGGATGAATTTATGCTGAGTGGGCATCCAGAGAGGGATGATTTGAGGCTAGATATGAGTTCTCTCCATTGATAACATAGTATCTGTGGAGTCTATTATTTTCAGTTATGTTGTCTATGCTCAGTCCTTTGTCCGTTTATATTTGAATTTCTTTATTTTCAGGCCAATTAGTGTTCTGATATCCACTTGAGTGAGCATTTGCAAATACATTTAGAAGTCCTGCAAAATTATAATGGTCTTTCACCTGCAGGTGGCACTCAAGCGACATAACATTACATGTTACTTGTTAAATGCTTTTATCCAAAGCGACTTACATACTCAAAGTCAAATGTACATAACATTTGCTTACAGGCCTAATAAAAAGACAAGACAGGATTTAGGGAATTTCCCTGAAACTAATGAAAGACCAACTGTGATATACAGTATTCTATTTTAAATGAATGCTTGTAATGAGTGAATGTTGTTTAACATCTGGGTCATGTGTTGATCGCAGTCTGTCAATGCAACGTATGTGTCAAATGTAATCTCTTTCCGGGGGTAAAACTACATAGAGAAACAGGATCATCTTTTTTAGCAAAGGCTATTGATGACTGATGATGAATAACAAATGCACACACATTACATTTACTTTGCTTGATTTATTCCTTTTCAAAATTCCCAGACTCTCTTTACATGAGATTTGGGAAGAGGACAGGAGTGGAGTGTCCTTCCTGGGCTGGATGGTGTCTGGTGTCTGCAGGACTCTCCCCATCAGGACATAGACCTCAGCTGTTTACAATCATTCATCATTCTAGTAGGACTAGTCTGCACAACCAAAACCAACCCAACCATCCAAATCTTTACGTCTTCCTTCTACCATTCATATAACCACTTCCAAAACATCGGTCTCCTCTGGGGGTCGTTTGTGGCATGCTCCCCAAACTCCACATACTCCACTGTCACCCTGACTCCTCAATTCTGGGAAAAAGAGTTTGCCAAACCTCATACAAAAGCAAAGCCTGTCAGGTTCACTCCCACAGCCCAGCTCCTCTTCAGAACTAGAGTCCTCCTGGCCCTTCAGCCCCAGCATTAACCTTTCTGACAAGATATGAACGTTTTGCAGCTCGTTTAAACTATGAACTGTTTCCTCCTTCACCCTTTTAGGGATGTTATGTTGCAACAAACTCTGTGGCCATTGATATTTCAGAGACACTGCTGGTGACCTGTGTCTTCTGGCTGATCAGGTCGTTCATTTATTTCTGAATGGCCTCTATGTCTCTGAACATGAGGTCATTTGTTATGCGAAGACCCTAGTTGTTCTGGATAGAAATTTGTTGGCATGGCAGAAAAATATCCAGGGGTATCAAATAATGCAAACATAATGTTCAAATACAAATGTGCCGAAAGTCCAGTAGTGCAACTCTGGAATTGCACTACTGGACTTTTCAGTTAACGTTGTACTTGTATTGTAAAGTTATAATACAATGAATAAAGCTAAAATAAGATATTAGGAAAGAGACAAAGCAATTGGTGTTGGCTTTTATTCTTTTAAGTTAAAAGGACTAGGCTACGTACTGTACATAAAACCTGCACTGTTTTAAGACTTTAACCGGTGCACAAAATATATATGTCCATTCAAATGGCCAATGTTTTACCGTGATATCTCTTTCAACACAATATATATAGGCCTATTATTATTTTAATTTGGATTCTATTTTATCTTTATGTTTACCTTGCTGCTATAATCGCCTGAATTTCTCCAAGGGGATAAATAAAGTTCTATCTTATATATTATCACAATTAAATGAAGTACTGCATGTTGAGTCTGCAGTCCCTCTCTGTCGCTAGATGTCGCTGCACCCTGTGTGGTGCCGGGGGGCAGGCAGGGGGCTGGATGTGGGCTGTTGGAGACTCCAGGGGGGCAGTAGGATATGTGTGTGTGAGTGTGTTTGAGGCTCATCGAGCAGCAGGGGAACTTGAAAACTTCACTGCGTTCAGCGAGCGGAACACTCTGCGTTTTGGGAGCTGAAATCTGGTGCTTTCAGTCCGGCTGTGATCGACAGGAGGACCCGGTCCGGTTCCCAGCATTGGAACGATTTCCGGCCAACATGGATGATTTAGGTAAGTTCGCTTTGCCGTGAACGCAACATTTAACCAGCGCCTGAGTGTGTATTGTTTGCGCAGACACACAATGCGGCCGATGGCTGTGTATTCAACTTAAGGAAGGGTTTTTCCAAGAAACTCTTTACAGTTGTATGTTTGACTCGTGTGTGAATCCAGGTAGGTTAAGTTATCCTGGTTCAGCTCAGCGCGAGGAGCCCAGAAAGGCCCCTCGTGCGGACAGGAAGCCCTGGATTTGGGCAATAATTAACAATTAACATTAGCTGGGATTTGTAACGTAAAAAAACCGTGTATGAGCGGACGTGGTTGTTACTGTGACCGGGGTTTTTGCATTGTTTCTGGGCGAGTTATTTCTCCCACAATTCCTCCGCATCACTTAACCAGGCATGATATGCTACTGCATGCTTCCTCTAACTTTTTGCATGCGCCAAACCAGCTGAATTGTGTAAATTAGCCCACAAGTCAGCTTGCATTTGATGAGACACTGACCTAGTGAGCCCCTCCTGGGAAATGGCAGGCTTACATAACTGCATTTACTGCAGGTGAGATGGTAACAGCTGGCTTCAGTGATTAAAACAACATCTAACAGTCATAGTTCAGAGAGTTGTTCAGGTCCCTGAAAAGTCAGAATTGCCCATTGCAACAGATTTCAGGTCGAGTTAGTCCCTCATTTCAACTGATTGTCACACCAGTGCAATATGAAGAGGCAAATGATTCCAGGAAAGCTTTGCTGTCTTTCTGCCTGCACAGATAAGCTTAACTCAGTGAGTTATGGCACAATTGATGACAGCAGAAAATGTAAAGCCTGAGGACAGCTTGTTGTGACAGGGAGGCTGTGTAGAGCTCAGCACAATGTTCTTGGGGCTCACAAAATCCTGGCTCTCCCTCTGTGACAGTTCACCCTGCTAAATGTTTAATATTTAAAAAATCCTTGCTCTGAACCAAACACCCATTTTTTTTAAAGCTTGTCATTCCACATAGTGGTTGTAGTAAAACCAAACCTAATCATTCTAATCAAAAGGAAAATACTGAAGTAACAACGCTTGCATAGTGCGTGCGATCAGGATCAGTTCTCTTTTCTATTCATTTACAAGCATTGACTGCACATATTTTCTGTTTACAAGGTTTTAAATGTTACCCTGGCAACTGTAAGGTTAAGTGTAGCAGGACATTCAGGGGAAATCCATTGAAGGAGTCAAGTTCATTGGATGCTAAAAGAAAACACCAGAATGCATTTGTAAAGTCAAAGGTGAGAAATGTTTCACAAAAGCTGCCCCAAAAAGTGTTCCCCTTAAGCATCCCCTTAATGCATGTATGCACAGTTAAAAACAAGAATCCCAGTGCATAGAACATTTTGTATTTGCCTACTCTCAATGCTGGAAACACAAAGTATAATAACGAAATACAAGAAAATGAATAGAAAGCACTATGTACATTATACATACTTCTCTGTGAACTGAAAGTTTACTTTACCTGTTCCAGGCAGGTCAAAGCTCGTTGAACTTTCTCAGTTCCTTAAAAAAGAAATCACATTTCAGTACACATGGATATAGTTTGGGCCAAACCTTGCTCTCTGGTTGACACGTTGGTGGTGAGAATGTACCATTGGTCATTCTATATCCAGTCAATATTTATGGATACCTTCTCAGCTTACGTGGGTGAAGGGCTTTCCTTAAAGTAGCTGCCTAAAAAAGAGTTACACAACCCAGTGTAATTATCATGTCACAGGGTTGTAAATTCTGTCATCGTTTTAGCAGACACCTGTAAAAACTATGGCAAACGCGCTTAGTAGAAATGTTAGCTACAGAAAACTTCTGTCCAATGTTGTCCTCTACATCGTATGGGTGATGATGGGATCAGAGTCCTTTTCCTGTCTGTTTATCAAAAAGGAAAGTTTAGAATTGTTTAAAAAGGAAAAGGAAAGTTTAGAATTGTTTAAATGTAATCTTCCTTACCTCCTAAAGAGCTGAAGTGAGGCAGTATGGGGAGGCATCCTCCTCAGAGCCCAAAGAGGACAACTATGTATTTTTAGAGTCCTTTTTCTCCTGCGCTGAGACAGCAGCAGCACCTAGTAACCTTCCACCAACTGACTCTTAATCTCTCGTTTCCCCTTCCCATGACTTGTATTGTTAAAGGAATACCTCTCCCACAAGATGATAATTTGTATCCGCTTTACTTTAAATACTTGAAGAAAACGTGTTTTTCGACCCATGCCTCCACGATGAACAAAGAATAAAAAAACATAGAAAAGGTGTAGATGAATTTAAGTAAATGGTGGCCGCTTTTAACAACAGCAAAACTACATCTAAACATTATTTTACCAACTCTTAAATCATATAGGCTTCTACAGAAGAGTAGTGTGCGCTTACATAAGTGTGAGACTGTATAAGCAGAAGTGTATTAAAATAACATGGTTTAAGGGAAAAAGCATCTGTTAGGGAAGTATTAAGATAATGCTGTAAATGAATAACGCAGCCCTTATTTACTTAAATTCAACACGTGGTGAGTAAGTGATATCAGAATGGTCCTACTGTGGGGGAAGTATGTTCTTGACATTTCAAACAGTCTTACAATAACACTAATGACACGGTAGCAGTGAGTCTGAGTCTGTTTGCTTCTTCCCTCAAAGCGGCTTTTCTGTGATCCGCACATATGCACTCTCTCAGTTTGCTTTAACCCAATGCTTCCAGCCGTGGGAGCAGGCAGGGCGTCGGGGGGGGATCAGGCCCACATGTAGGGATTGGGCCTCAGCCAAAATGTATCCTCCTTAAACACTGCACTGCCCCACCCTCTCTCTCCCCACTCCCCACCATTCCTGTGGCAAACCACATAGGAAGCTGCAGCTGCAATCTATTGACAGTTTAAAGCTGGCGGGGTGTGCAGCACAGCAGATTAGCCTTTAGGAAGATTTGGATCAGGGCAGATTTTAAAGCTTTATCGCCTGAAATTATCAGGTTTTTAACTCTAGTCATTAAAGAAAATCTGTATTAGAAACGGGATCTTTCTTTGTTTATGCTAGACATTTATATTAATTGTGACTCCTTTTGTTTAAGAAATGTGTGCAGTTAAGATGCCGTGGAAAACTTTCATTGACCTCCCCTCCTCAGCTATCAGAGCTGCCAAGCGTTGCGCCTTGCTTCACTGCTCTGTGCCTGCTCCAACAAGACATGAATGTCAAACAGCCTCCAAAGTTAACTTCATTTCACTGACTTTGATCCGCAGTTCCTTTCAGTATTTTCTTCTCATGTCCGCAAATATGTTAACTGCTCAGTTTCTCTCTCACTCTCTCACTGATTTGTGTTACTGTCGTTCGGTGGAATCATTTGAAGTGAAGTGATTCCCCAGAGGCCTGTCAGCGCGGCAGCTGCAGTGTTGGAAATGTCACCCATGGAGTGGGCGTGGACGCAGTCCTTTACTTACTCCAAATGAGATCTGATGTAGCCTAGATAATCATCCCAGTCTAAATATAGGTTCATTGTTTATACACCAAAAGAAACGTCAGACAGCTCACATTTACATTCTCTATTGTGTTGACTGTGATGTTGACGTCAGTTTTGCCTGAGAGGTGTTTTTTCCCTCTGTCAGGGACACAGTTTGTATAATATCAGTTCTCCTTGGCCAATGTGCAGCTTTGCCAATCTGTTGTTTTCAGTTATCGTCAACCTTTTTTCTTTGTTTGACTTACGAGCTGTGATGAATCTGTAACTCTACAGTCCATACAGTATAACGACTAGGGATTTATTTAAAGTCGTAAAGGAATCTGTATGAAATCTTTGAAGTCATTTTAACCCTAGATTAGAATCCACAATTGTGATTTGAGGGAAATGTAGCAGTTGATTTAGCAATTGATTATATTAAGATCTAAATCAAGCATTTGAATTTGGGAAATATGTTTATCTGCTGTTTTGGCGAGAAGATTCAAAGCACTCTCATGACTGTTAACTAAACATGGAGCTACAGCCAGCAGCTAGTTTGCTTAGCTTAGTATAAAGACTGGAAACATGGGATAACCTGCTAGCCTAGCTCTGCGCAAAAGTAACTAAATGCCAGCAAGCAGAACCTTTGAAAACTCCTGACCTTTCACCTTAGCTTACTAACTTTCGTAATGGGTTTCTTAGCTATGTAAATATGTCATGTTAGGATATAAATGCTCATACAAATACAAAAGACCACACCCACTTGGGACACAGGAAGTGTATACGTTGCTTGTGAATGGTTCATCTTTGCTTATGACAAAAGAAGCTGATTAGTTGCATTATGGGACACGTAGTTTGCTCTCTTTATTTTTAGGTTGACCCAAACTAATGACTAAAACTGAGAATATCTTTGTCTGCTCTTTTTTTTGAATGAATCAGGAGTACTTTTTTTGAGTGTAAAGTCAGTCCAAACTTAGAAGTTCCCATTTATCAAAAATCCCCTTTTGGTCAACTTCCTCCTCACTTGAGTAAAATATATATCGTTGCATATTACATCTTCAGTAAACCTCAGCTTAATGCAGCAAAGAGCAGGCTTACAGTAGACGATAAGTCTCTTGTGAGTGGAATATAAATCACACACAAACTCAATGTAGCATAGGAAGCCTTGAGAGAATCTCTTGTATCTGCTCTAGGGTTTGTCCATCTGTTTGACTTTAGAATTAAAAGGCTGCAAGGCTTTGAAACATATGGTGTATGCTCATGCTCAGACACACAAAACACGCCTCTGATCGCAGGCCGCTGGTGTGGACAGACAGCTCCGAGAGAGGAGCTGACTAAGCAGCGACAGCTCTACACTCAGCCAACCGTCATGTCATCTCTCATGGGTCCAGCGTGCCATAACAACAGCCTGCAGGGTCCACATTCACACAGCTACTGGAGGGTTTTGAAATCAGGGTTCATATGAAAATAGGCTTTCAAGTCAGAAATATATTTAGACTGAAAAGAGATTCAAGCAAACAATTTGGCTGTGTTTAGGATCTGTGTAGCTTTAATTATACACTAGCATGTCATAAAGTACAGTCTAGTTACTGCATGTGCCAGTCATGTTCCTCTGCCCTGCTTTCTGTCAGCTGAGCTCAATGAGCTCTTTTCTTTAGGGCAGCTTCGTGTCTATGTTTCCTGACAGGAAGTGCCCTTTGTGACCTCTGTGTTGTAGTGGCAGTCAGGAGGATTCTCTGCTGCTCAGCAACAGAATAGCCTATTGTCGTTCACAGACATCGTGTTAGTCATTACGACTTGTGGACATGCCTCATCCTGTCCTATTTGTGGTGGCTTCCTTTAATTTAAGCAGAAAAAAATGGTTTGCTTTTGGTCTTTCCATTTTGTTTCCAGGCAACCGGAACAGCTCATTAGCTTGATGTAGCGTGTTGTCAGCGAGGAAATAGACCAAAAGAAGCAGTAGTGTGCCGTTCTAACATGTTTTATAGTATGTGTGATGTTTTTACGATATGTAAACCTTCAATGTCTAGTCAACCATCGCAAAGTCTATTGACAGAATGGTTTGGCAAAAAGGTTTTTGGGGATTCTCAAATATGGAGATTTCCTGCTTTATATCATATTAACTAAACTAAACCTTTGTCTGACAACACATGACATTTAAAGACATCTTTGAATTTGAGAAGGCATTTTATAGACCATAAGAAGAAGAAAAAACAGCTGATGAATCAATAATTATGATGATTGTTAGCCCTTATAAATGTGTATAAGCTGTTTCCCGCCCTCCATTATCCTGCTGTTTTGCTCTGATGAGTTGAGTTTCCTGCTGAGATTCTGATCCCAACACGCCCTGACAGGGACTGACAGCCGTGCTGCTGATCGGGCTGATGCAAGCAGCTGTAACAGGATCACAGCTGGTGTAACAGTATGACGTAGAAGATAGACACAATGTTTTTATTAGAAAGAAATTAGAGCACAAAAAGGTATCAAACGCAGTGTTTCAAAAGGTAACTAAAACATTTTCCCCAGTTCAATCAAAACCTATTTGTCATATTAAATGGCGCTCTTAAAATGTCAGCTGGCCTTCCAAATGCACCTGCATGGCTTTGCAGGCTTTCCTCTAATTGGCTCCTAAATGTCATTTTCCTAAGAGGCTGTATGGTTGCTGTGGCTACAGGCTGAGATAACACATCACTGTTTTATTAGGAAATGGATTTGTGCCCAGTAGGTTTGCTCCGGCCTTGGCACAAGTTTAAATAACCCCAAACACACCGCTGCTACTGCCCTATTTCAGATATAAAGCCACCACAATGCAGCCCTTTGATTAATTGGGAAGTTGGAGGGGGACAAGCGATTGCGAATGTAAGGGAAAGTGAGCATGATAGTATGTGTGTGTGTGTGTGTTTGATGTTGCTTGTGATTTAGTTGGATTAACTATCAGCATCTGGCTTGTTAAAGAGGATCATTCAGGAATCCCCGCACTTGGGTTAATGACAGCGTCAGTGATGCTTAGGTCAGGATTACTACTCCACAGGTTTATATGAGTTTTGGCTTAACAAGAGTTCACAAACACACACACACACACACACACACACACACACACACACACACATATAGTATGTGTGTTGTGGCACCCGCGCCAAGCTTACTGTTTTCCAGTGGAATGATCAGACCTCTTCTCTCGGTCCTTATTCTGCCGCAGGGGGACAAAGAGCAGCTTGTTTCTGGAGCCGTGACCTCCTTCAACCCAGAAAACACAGAACCAGACAGAACTGATTATGGGAAGGGGAAAAAGTCATCTAGTTGAAATCTCCAAAGTCCAGACTAATAATTAGCAGGAGCATTAATTGTAATTGTGCATCTTTGGTATGAATTGACTAAGACACTATTCATTTGATAAAGTCATAAACATTTAATTCAATACCACTTTACAAGCATCTATCATGGGACTTTTGTAATTAGATTATCATTCCTTTTATACGGAATATAGTGAAGTTGACATTAAACAATTTTTTTGTTTTTTTTTCAATTTCACAAGGTTTACTCTCATTTGCCATTTTAAAACTTAACCCAAAAATAATTGGTCAACTTTTTATTTTGACTCTGTTGTGTCTGCATTTGGTTTGAATATCATTTTCAGTCAAGAGGAACCTTTTTAAAACCCATATATTTTGTGTTGGCAAATCGCCCCAAAATGAGCTATTGTTCATACCTAAATAAATACACCTTTGGTACTTTTCAAACATTTTCAAAGTGCTTTTACCACAGTTGCATGCAAACAGATGCTGAAAATAACCACAGTGACGACGTGTAAACCACAGGAAAGCTTTGCGCCCACCAACCAACTACCTTTGTGTTCCTTTGTAAGCCTATCTCTGTGGGGAAGGAGAGAAGGAGCTGAGGGGGAGACAGCAAGAAGAGAGGGTCTTATCTTCTTTTGACTGGTATTGTTTTAGTAACGGATACTCGTGTCTTACTTTTCTTTTCAGTTCTCATAGCCATAAATATAAAGGTGGATACATACACTAAACCATCCATTTAACAATAATTGTGCTCAAATGTCATCATTCAGTGAAGTAGATGTTTATTTTCCCCTTTGGAAAGTGGTTTGCAGCCAGGATTACAACCTGGTTACCCTACTCACAAGCACAAAAAGGCACAATGAAGGCAATCAGATTAAAACATGGTACAAATAAAAGTGTCAGGCTGATGAGCAGAAGTGACTGAAAGCAGACAGGAGAGGAAGTAAAACAAATGCATGTTATTAACCATAAATGCCTCAATGTGGTACTGCAAGTGACGATACAAAAATATTTTCTTTACAATGATATATATGAATTAGTAGTATGTTTAGCTTTTATACTGCAAAAATTAACAATTTAATGAAACCTAAGGTTAACATTAAGAATGTTCTGGCAGAACATTTGAGGGGGCTATAAAGACATTATTATTATAAATTATCCAGAAATTCACATTATCCAGGTTTAAGCTAACAGTGCATCAGAGATGCTAGCTGAAATTAGTGTAAAAGCACAAGGTTGCCTTTCTAGGATCCAAAGCTCTCAGTGTTGAGACTAGACTCTGCAGAGATGCAGACAATGGGTTTAGAATATCTGTGGTGACATTTGCATTTATTTCCTGTGCTTCACCTTGTACTGCAGCTTTTTTAAACATATTCATTGAGGTCAAACCTACCGTACTTTCTGGGAAGGCAGACTCGACACACGGGCTGAAAAGGTGTTACTTTCTGGGTGGAAATCAACAGAAACGAGGCTTTCAGGCTCGTGGCTATTTCTGAACTCAACTGTGACTTGTGTGGGGCGGCTGCTTATTTGAAAAGTGTTGGGTGCATGCAATTTATGTACATTTTTAAAGTTGTGGTTTTATGACAAGCGTTGGTGTTTCTGTGTATTTTTATGTTGCAGCTTAATGAAAAAAATAGTCATGGTACTTTTTGACAATCAACCTTTTTGCCTAGAGTTTAATAAAAGATTGGTAACCTTCTCATGTATTTGTGTAAAAGCATGGAGCCTTAGCCAGGAAGTGGTTAGCTTATCATAGCTTGCTTAACAAAGGCGGGACAGCTAACCTTGCTCTGTCTCAAGTTTAAAAAATAGGACAACCCAATCTACTTTAATGATAAACAGCCATGCTAGCTCTTAACCCTGCATCCAGTCTTCATGCTAAACTCAGCTAATCCCCACATTCAACACAGAGTCCCTAGGTCACACAACCTAGGGGAAGATAGTAAAAAAGCACATATTTCCTTCAACTATTCCTTTGAATGATTTTGTTGCCATCGGACAAGCTGTCAACAGTTACATTTATACATTTTAATTTGATATGGCAAATTTGCTAGCCAACAGCATCTCATTTACACACCCAGAAGATATACATAGCAACATAATTCATGTATAACCCTAATGTACAGTCCAATTTTTACATGCCTTCACCTCTGCTTTTAGTTTCTACCACTTCCCGATTGACAATTTGGTCTCTTTGATTGCTAAATACTTCACTCTGGTTCCCAGCTCGTTGCTTACATGGTATGTGTGCAATTGGTTGCTGGTCAGGTAAACAGTTGATTTATCATAGATGTACTGCTTCCCTTTTGGAAACTAGTCTGTGTAGAGACAGGAGTCTTCATTTTTGAAAATTGTCATGCATGGCAGCATGTTGTCGCATTGCACCTTAGGTCAGAATAATTTAACAATTTTCTTAGTACCGCTAGCAGTTTGTACCATCAGAAAAAAAGCCTCTTTGTTTAACAGAGGATTCGGTCATTATGCATTACTTATTTTCTTAATTGGCACACTTATTCTGGGCTGCCTGAGTTCTGTATTTAAGCGTTGGATTGCACATGTCTAAATAAACTTTGCTGTAATTGTATTGAATAAGTGGAGTGCAAGCTGCTGTGTATGCACTCTTATTCTCTGACTAAATTGCAAGTGGGAGCTATGGTGCCGTTTCCATTTAATTGCTTTTGTAGCTGTAGCGCTTCATTGATCTGAACAGAAGGAAACTCCATCCAGGCTCTTCTCTATACTGTTTAGAAATGTAAGAGACATTAAACCGAATGAAATGTAATACATAGGATAAGCTGGGTGGGTGGTCTGTTATGTCCTGCTGTTGCTCTGCCCGGCATGGCCATCCATCATCTACTGTATGTGTCTGCTCCCACCACAGGTCTGGGTCGGGCTGGTGGTATTTATAGTGAGGCTGGATGCTTCTGTCTGTCTCTGGCGTGTGGCTAAAGCCTTGCTGAGAGGCACCTGTGTGCAATGTTGTTGTTCTACTGTTGCACCTGTGTGTGTGATTTAATTGTTGCACTTCAGTGCCCGCTGAAGCGCACCTAATGAACACAGACACAGGCCTTCTGCTGTCTAGCACAAGCCCAGAGGGGAGTAAAGTGTAAGTGGATGTGTGCCCATCTTATCCTTTTCCCTTCTGGTAGAAGCTAAGAGGAGGATTCATCATCTCTGCGCTGGTCTGTCAGCTCATGTCACAATGAAAGGCCATGTCTCAGACAACAGAACATGAAAGGCTGTCCCACTCGTCGACCCACACTCACAGACTCGGTTGTTTCGTACAACACAGATTGTTTTTCCTTGTTTGTTTTCCATAACCAGATTATGTACAAAATCTCTTTGTCTAACAGCTGACATTTTTATTTTCACTCATCTGTCCTTGTCTGTCTTATCACACAATCTTGTTCAGAGTATGTGCCTCGCATTCATCTCCGCCTCTCGCTTTTTCTCTCATATTTTGAAGACGAGCTGTGGCACGTTAGGAATTCATATCAGCCGACGTGCACCTTGCAACACGTCAGATTCAGAGGGAAGAAATAAAAGGAATGGAGGTAGAGGCGGATGCAGAAAGGAGGTCAGAGAACACAGGTAACGGTGCTGCGCCGACAGAAACGTGGGGCTGATATTCATCCTGTTAGTTTCCCTTTGGTGTAAGCGCATATCTCAGGAAATGCTTTGGCATTTATGAAACTCACTGATAAAGCCTGCTCTGTATACCAGCCCTCAGAGCAAAGAAATAAGCCACGGGTGTGCTCGGCTCTCACACACGGCTCAACGTCACCCCCTGCAGGTTTTTAAAGGTTGTGTTTTGATACATTCATTCGATGAGGTCCATTCCCTTACAATGAACCAGCTGAATAAACAAGAGATGTGTTGAGTAGAAGACAGCATTGATTCATTTGTATGCAATGGTCAGCACTGATAGGGCCTTAAGCAGTGTGTGTGCTGTCAAGCAGGCAGGATGTCCTGTCAGGGATAATGGAGGCTTAACTTCTGTTGACGTCCAGCACCGATATTGATCAAACCTCAAAGAGTAAAAGTAGTGCTCCAGAATTGCTTTGCTCATTTATTTATATTTTATGAAGATTTCTTACTATGAAAGGTTGCAATATAACTGCTGATCCAACAATTGCCCTTCTCTTTATTGTTCACAAACTTGACACTTCAAAAGGTTTCCTTATCATAACCTCCTTCCCCTCCCTTCACTTCTAATGTTTCATTCCTTTTTCTGCCCACATCAATCTTCCTGGTCCCCTTTTCCCCTTATCTCTCTCTCTCTATCTGTATTTCCTGTAATGAGCCCCATGCGGAGCAACGTTTGTATAATTAAAATGCACAGCATTCATCTGGGAGGAAGGGAGTCTCCTTAATCTGCGTCAACCCACATTTCAGCCTCTGAGGATTTGCCTGCCGCGGCTACACGAGCACACACACTTCCTAGATTCACCCGCTATCTCTCTCGACACTCCCATCGCCATTCCTCATTGTTTGAGCCCAGTTGTGCTCTGCCATGTCACATTTAGTGCCATGGACATGGAAGCTTGCAGATCCCTGGTGTTGTTTTTCATTGTTCAAAGAGGCTGGACTGTGTTTGATTCATATATCTTATTGTGCGTAGGCAGGGTAGATCTGTCACTTTGTTACAACTGTCTGCTTCTCAGGAAATTGGGTCTATAAGGGTTTAGTATAACATGGTTCTCACAACACAAACATTCATTCATAGAAGTCCCTTTTTGTGTACATTTTAATCAGATATATACTTACATTTGCTAAAATAAAGTTATCTCCAGAAGTTTTTGTTTCTCCTTACAAAGGATTCAAATTATGTAAGGCTCATTTTTAAGATTTAGCACATGGGTGTCTCTTATGAGTTCCTCACTTTACTATAGATCCATTTTTGGTCACTGGAAAACTAGTCTGTGCTTTGCAGTCTGTGTGTCCTGGTATGTTCCCTTGGCAGAGGAGGCTGACACACCTCTGTGTGTTTGTGTAGTTTGTGGATGGGTTACAGCATGTCTAGCATGCAGTGTTCAGTGCACAACGGCAACCCTCAAGCTTCTAGTTTGATGTTGTAGCCTGTATTGTGGAAATAGCAGTACTATTCCAACCTTTGTTGAGGGAAATGAGCGGGCTTATTCTGCTGATACAGATCTCCCAGAAGCCAACAGAATCTGTATTTAATATAGCCCGGGGGATAGTGTTTTAGCGTAACTCTATTGTGGAGCAGCAGATGTACCAGGGTTAAAGCCAGTTCAGATCCAGAACTAAGTTGATTAACATCTCTTTCGTAAACCATCTGGACTAACATCTGTTGACTGAGATCTTCACCAGCTGCAGTAAAACTTTATTCTGACATCAACAACAGATATACACCAAGGCCTTCAGATATCACCATTTATTAAATGCAGTATTTTGTGTCGGCACGTTTTTACTTTTATTAAAGTCCAATGTCTGGACTTGTCTTATCCAGTTTTATTTTCTCTATTAGTTAATTTGTAAACCGTAATGAATGATGAATGGAGGTCTTAGTAGACTAAACAAGTACAATTCATATCAATGTTTACGATGATGATAAAATCAGCTGCATTAGGGGAAACGTAAAAAGAAGTCTTGACCTCTGAGTTTGAACACAGGAAAGCCACTTAGAATAAATTCTCAGTATTGTTGACTTCCCCATTTACTGGATCAGAAGTAGAGCCTGCAGTATTGAGGTGCACCTGTCTGTCTGCTGGTTTGAAGCATCTTCGATTGGTAGGTTTTATCATACACCATACTTGGTTACATTTTATAGATCGACAGTGGTGTTGTTTCTGACTCTTAACATTAATGGGTGTGTTATTGCTGCCAAGTCAGAGAGGAGGACACACACACAGAACTGGCTGCAGTAGTGTAAACAGTGAGCGGCGCTGCGTCCATAAAGAAGCTCTGAGGAATGTGCTCGGGCTTTTTAACAGAGTCTCCGGTGTGAAACCTAGTCAACTGGCATGTTCGCCACGCTAACTATGCTAATGCTAAGTTGGGTTAAGTGGACCTGGTGTGGATGTGGCTCTGCTTCTACTGTGTCTCCGCTCAGTCTGGGAAACATGGCGGTCCAGTGTACTTGTGTACAGATGATACTCTGCTTTACCTAGAATCAGGTTCAACGTACAAATGTAATCGTACCCCTGAAGAAATCATGATGTGCTTAGAATCTTGACAAAGCAAAAGGGATTATATGTTTATAATTTGTTCCTGGTTGTAGTTAAAGACTACATTGTATGTAACATCAAAACATGGTGAAAGAGAGTGCGAGTCATCATGAGTAACTTAAGGAGAGTGGGCTGTCAGTGGGAAGGAGGGGCCCAATACACCTTTTTATACCTTTGTGATTCCACTCCCTTAGATGGGCATGCCTCTGCTGATAAGAGCTTTGCTTGCGTTCAACTTTCCTCATTTCACAACGTTCTGCTTCACCTGCTGTAACGTGCTCGGCCTGCAACAGTTGGACTGCCCCATACTCAGAGACTATTTTCATTTGTGTGAGTAGTTTCCTATCCTATAGCTCTCAGGGAAGCTAGGTCGAACCTGGCATAGCAGTGTATGTGTCCGGAGGGCGGTGAAACTAACCCGCTGCTATTATTTTTAACCCCTCCTTCTCCTCTTTACCCTGACCCTTTGCTCTGCTCTCAGTTGCACTCTGGTTGCACCCCTCCTATTCGTCTCTTGCTCTCTTATGCTGATGGTAGAGTTAAGGAAGGCAGTTCCTGGCTGGCAGACCGTCTGTTTGGGTTGCCCTCTTCCTCCTGCACTTCTTCTTTTTTTCTCAGTTTTATCTCCTCTTCACTTCTCTGGGTGTAACGTTTTCTAAGGTACGTCTCTTAAACGTGTGACTTTAGCTATCTTTTTGGCTTTCCTGCCCCTATGCTTTATTTAAGAATGTCGGAGAAGTGTGTATTGGGATCATCTTGGTAATAAATGTCTTTCAGTCCCAGGAAAAACGCTATATAAATACCATATATTCATATATATTATTATACTGTCAATATTGCAGTATTATGTATATATTTTTAATCACAAATTCTCTCCAACATTAGGGATAAAACTTGATTGTACTTGTGCTCTACATTCGCTTTAACAACTATGGTTTATTTGTTTTTGTCTAGAAATATACATTAGCGTAGGGACTTTATTTTTGACAACCCCATGGTCTTTAATAGCCTCAAATATTTCGGTTTAATAATAAAATGTGAAATTGCATATATTTTATACAAATAGTTTATTCATAAAATAAATGTCTTGTTAGCGTAAGAGTTTGTTTAACTTAGGGTATTATTATTATTATTTTTTTTTTTACTTGTGAAATTCTACAAGAGAAACTAAACACTGCTTTGGGGAGTGAGCGCGCTAAAATAAGCCCAAGCATTCAGTAATACAGTCTGCTCTCTTCATTAAATCCTGTATAATGTTATGTGTCCTTCTACCTGCTGGTTAGGACTGCTAAATTAGTATTTGTTGTCTTGGCCCGGGTTCATCTCGAAACACCAAATGACCCCTTCATGCAGTGATGTTAGCTGGTGTGGTGTTGATGGTAAATATAAGCACGTAAACCTGGTTGCAGACAGCGTCTCTTGGATTTAAGACTCCAGGCAAACTAGGGTCAATGAGTAACCAAAGGAGTGGCTATGACAGTCTGCATGATTCAACGTTTACAACTCCACCTCCCCTGATGTCAGTGCTAATGGGATGTTGACCAATTGCGTAACATGCTGTAATTATTTGTTCCTGTACGCAAACAGAAACTAATGATGATGAGTTTTTGCAGCGCTATACTTTCTTTCAACCCTGTCTGGGAAAATAACTATCTGTAATTATAACTATACCATTTTTTTTTTTGTATCTCCGCAGATGCTTTGTTGGCGGACCTTGAGTCCACAACATCCCACATTTCCAAGCGTCCGCTCTTCCTGTCTGACGAGACCGCCTACTCCTTCCCTGTTGGGGGTCAGAGCCAGCAAGACCTCTCCTCTCCACCCCAAATCCCAACCACTCCCTCTGAACTAAACGGAGTTGATGAAACAGAGGTAAATGCTCACATACATGTCAGGGATAAAACACATTATAAACTTAAAACATTGTTTAATTAACTTAAACCCTCATTTCCTCTCTTCAGTCCTTCAGCTCAGCCCAGAGAAGTCCCTGGTCTAGAGATAGCGGCAGTCCAAATCAAACAATCGGTGAAGAGGACCACGTATACAGGTATGACTTGGATTTGTGTTATTTGGATAGACAGGCTTTAAACAACAGTAAAATGTAAAACTCTCAGAGACACTTTACAAATTATGTCAAAATATAGCATCACTCTCAGTCTATAGCTCAGTGTATGATAAATATTGGTTCCTCTCTCTGCTCTGTACAGCTTCCCTAATAAGCAGAAAAATAGTGACTCATCAGCTGGTGCCATGAACTCATCCTTGGGCAGCAACCTGTCTGAACTGGACCGCCTGCTGTTGGAGCTCAACGCTGTCCAGCAAAGCACCCCTGCCTTCCCCACAGAAGGTACACAAGAGATCACTTACATTTAAAAAATGTAAAATCTCTCAAATGTTGTGCTGTTACACAGGCATGGCCGTTATCTCCACTGTATTTTAGTGTTTTTGGCTTAAAGGTCACCTATTCGGTTTTTTGGCTTGTGTAACCATTAGCCAATAACCAACCAAGGTAACCCCCCCCCACCTTATCACCTGTATCTCCTCCTAGAGCACCATTGTGTTCTTTTTAAGGGGCGTGGGGAGTGGCTCCTTATTTTCATCTAAAGTAAAAAACTGAGAATCAGCACTTTTGAAACAGGGCTGAAACAGAGGGGTTTATGGGATGCTACAATGCACGTTCTATTTGGTATTTCGAGCCAAACAATTCAGAGACATGTTTTGTATATATCTGAGACCTATAATATATTGATGTAAAACAGTATCATGGGGGACCTTTAAAGAAAACCACAGATAAACTATGCACTGTAGATGATGGTAATTAATTAAGCATTTATTCTTCAATAGAAGAAGCAGCTCCCCCACTGCCTGCCAGCAGCGTCATCCACCATGTCCAGGAGAACGGAGTCTCTACTGCGGGCAAGGCTGGTCCCCCTGTACTGGAGAAGCCAAAGCGCAGTGTGCTAGCTCGGGGAATAGAGGATGTACGACCAAGTGTAGAGAGCCTTCTGGATGAGCTGGAAAGTTCTGTGCCCTCTCCAATGTAAGCGAGAAATTGATAAAGCAACATATAGATTGGTGCCCTGCATGCAGCTGTTAAAAAGTACTTTTTATTCAAATGTAATGTGGAAAGGATTTAGTTGATTGTATTCTTTCTGTTTTTAGTCCCACACCGTCGGTTGTGTCAGAAGAACTAACAGATGGACAAGAGGAAACACCGGCTCAGCAACAAGCCAGAATGTCTGCCTCCTCTGCCACACGAGAGCTGGATGAGCTAATGGCCTCCCTGTCTGACTTCAAAGTCCAAAGCAATGTGAGTGTGCTAGTGGGTAGATTGTGTGTCACCAGGGTTTGCATTCTGGATGGAGGATGTTTATTTTTGGTTGCAACTGTTTAGAAACTGCTCTGCAGATGTTTGGGGAAATGCAAAACAGTTGAATGAATTCTAGGATCAAATGTATTCAGTGTCTTTTCCTTATTTTTGCGTTTGTAATGTGAAATAGATGCTGCTGCTGGCAATGTCTTACAATTGAAATATAAATGATACTCTGCTGTATTACTGTTTCCTTAGATTTCACATAGAACTGTAAACCTTACAATGGCCTGGATGTAGTAGCTGGAACTGTTATTTACATCAATTAAGGAAAATAACAACTACTTCCTATTTTTAACCTGCCTTTTTATCTTCGGTTACCGACTGGAAATTGACCAAAACAATACTTATGAATATATTCAGCTTTGTGTTGTACTACATTTTCTGGACTAGTGTGCAAATTGAAAGCTTGCATTGATAGAGGAAGTTGTGTGGTTGACGCTGCATAAGTAACATATTTTTGTTGACAACATAGCTTAATGCAATCTAATACAATTTACCATTAAATCCCATTTACACATAGTAATAAATACTTAACTTTCTTCATACTTGGTCGAAAGAAGTGTTAATTCTAGTAATTATCTAGATTTTGACTGATTGTGTACAGGGCCTTCGTGTCTGAGCTGAAACAAGGTTTTATATATTTTTTTCGGTATTTATTTGAAGACCATTGCGAGAACTCTGACCCTTCTTGGCTTTGTATATAAGACAACTTTTCTGTTAATTTTCTTCATTCTCAATTTGTTTTTCCCACTGTCTCTCTCTGTTCTCTACCATTTGTAAATGTCTTGTCTTTGTTTGTACGTTGCAAACATCACATCATTGCACCGAATCTAGTCTGGTTCTCAGTCATCCGTGAATCAAGATGCTGGAGATGCTTCATTTTTAACTGGTTCACCAGAAATGTCCCCATCTATAAATACCAACATCGGCTCAGTTGATACTACTCTACCTTCTAGCTGCTCTACTCCCTCCTCTACCCCTATTCCATTTGAACTTCATATAGATGAAGATGGTTGTTCAACCTCTAAATCTTCAGCTGGTTCTACTGTAGTCATTTCATCGTCCAAGAGCCTTCAGTACTCAGAGATCCAACAGATAGATAATGGTGACAGTGTCACCTCTGAGTTCTCTTGTGTGGAGAGCCTCAGTATCTGTAGTAAAACAAATCCTGCTAGTGAAGCTGAAGTCAACAGCCCTGTACAAGTGTCGACAACCAGCACTAGTACAATCTCAAATTCACTTGAAAAGAGCTTTAGCCCAGGTACTTTTGGCAAAAGTTCCAGTCCAGTACCCACTGCAAGGAGCTTCAGTCCAGTAATTGTTTCTAACAGCCCTAGTCCTGTTAGTTGGTCTAAAAACCCTAGTCCCATCCTAACAGCCAAGAGTCCTAGTCCACCAGATCTTAAATGCTCCAGTCCAAGTCAGTTGTACAATAACACAAGCCCAATCCCTAAAAGTTACAGTCCAGCTCCTAGAATTCATAGTCCAGTCTCAGTTACAAGGCTTTCAAGTCCAGTTCCAAAATGTGCGAGTCCAATGACAGTCCGTAATATCTCCAGTCCTTTAACTATCCCAAAGAGTGCTAGTCCGGAAACAGTTCCCAATAGCGCAAGTCCATTGTCAATCACAAGACTTTCAAGTCCAGTTCCAAAGATTTCAAGTCCTGTGACTGTCCCTAATATCTCTAGTGTGCCCAAGAGTTATAGTCCTGAAACATTGCCAATGAGTGCTTCCCCAATAATGCACCCAGGGCTTACAAGTCCAGGGACAGTTCCAAAAAGTCCTGCTCAAGTTATCAGAAAGCATTACACAGTTACAGGCACTAACAGTCCCAGAGCTTCACCAGTTCCACTTGCTGCTGTACCATCAAATAAGCCGTCTGCCCCTCCTAGAGAAAAGCAGGGAGGTGAAACACTGGGTTTATCATGGCCATGTCGGGAGCCTTTCTTGGATGAGGCTTTAGACAAACTATTGGCCCCCAACTCCAACCAGTTGAATGAGAACCAGCCACCTGCTTCCTCTATGTCCGGAGATGATGACAGATCTTGGGAGGAGGAAGAGGGGAGTTACACTGATTACAGCCGAGAGGGAACCCTCACACCCATGACTGAGTCCAGCTGGATGGATGAGTGCCCCACCCCCTCCACCTGCCCCGGGACACCAGATGCAACGCTGGAGCTTCCGACACAGCAGCCCTCTGCAGTCGAGCGACTATCTGCTTCTGGCCAAGTAGGACGCTCAACTTGTCTCTCCCAAAATAAGCTGCTGGCAATAAGCTTTAGAGGCATTAGCTCCCCATGTGGTCTTTCTATTATTTGGTCATGTGGCCTGAGATTTTAATTAACTGTGACAATAATGGTGGAATGGCTGTGTTAGATAATTGTTCAAGCAGCTTGATCTCATGGTTGCCAAAATAAGCTTATTTTGGGAGAGCAGCTCCTGTAATTACTCAAGGAGCTGTGCAAAGTTACAAAAACTTGATGAAGTTTCTTGTTGAAGATAAATTTCCCTGATCTATTTGGCGTGATGCATGTGGTGTCATTGCATAGCAATTACAAGATGGCTTGAGGGAGAAATCTCCCTACTTGTGGCTGATGTCGAAAGCTTTGCCGAAAGGATGTTTTCGCACGCCCCTACTTGCTTGGATCGACATTGCTGTGCTAGTCACAGGGCCTGGCCTGTCATGTTTGTGCAACCAATGGATGATGCAAAAGAATACGCTTTTTATCACTGACTGGGCAAATACAAAGAAAGTACGTTGAATATTTTTCTCTTTTGCAAATGCAGATATGCCCCAGAACATGCATATGTAATCAAAAAACATACAATAACTTTGTCTGCCTTGCTTTGGTTCATGCAGATTTTGTGATAGACCTATGTTGCCTTGCCCTCAGCTATCCAGCATGGCATGCCAGGAAACCAGTACATTTTTAAGTAGACTTGGCTGTAGAGAATCAATTTGAGTGGAATGGAAGGCTGTGCTTTGCTTCTGCAGGCACATTTGATTGGATACACTGACAAGAGTGGAGTGCCTGACAGAATCTCCAGAACATTTAGCCAAAAGTATGTTCTAAAGCCACTGCTTGAGCGTTTTTTGCCACCTGAATGAGGCCTCCTTGGCTGGGCCTGTCGTGCTTATGTTTGTGACCCAACATGGACTTAAATTGCACGACCACACCTCCTTTGTATCATCTATTCTCCAGCTGAAGAACGTTATCCGCCGCACCAAGGAGACCTCCAATGTGCATCCAATGTTCAGAGAGGCAATGTTACGGCGTAAAATGGGGCCGGTCATTGTGAATAAGAGCAACTCGCAAGATCGACTCATTATGGAACTGCAGGGGAAACTGGGGTGTGGGAAAGTGGAGCGCAAGCGTAAACAACAGCCGGATGATTGGAGGACAGAGGGAGTCATCGTCATGTCCAACCCACAGCGAACACGAGAAGAAAGGGGCCAGCCATCTGTGGATAAGGTAGACATTAGAGGGGCACAGCAGGAGTCAGTGCTATTTCGTGCTACTAAGTGAGACCAAGAGTTCGTAATGATAGTTTTCGGGACTATGGTCAATCTATCAAACATATTTAATATATATGATAATTAATCACATATATATTGTATTTGTCATTGGCTCACATTTAAAACAATAAACGTGCACATTTTGTTTCTATCACCATTTCTTTTTCCTCATTCTGACCCCTGTTTTTGTTTGTCATCTGTTTGCTCTCCTGTCTTTGCCGTTTCCTTCTTACCCCCAGATCATCATCCCTCCAGAATCACCTGCCCCTCAGAGAAAAGTTATCCCCCCTCCGCAATCTCCCCCTGCGCCCAAAAAGTTACCCTCAGTCAAGCAGACTCCTCCACCACTTCCTCCTCCACCTCCTCCCCCTCCAACCCCTCCCCCTCCACGAGAACCCACCCCTCCTCCCCCTCCACGAGTGCCCACTCCCCCCCCCAGGGAGCCCACGCCCCCCCCTGTCCAGCCCCCTCCATCACCTAGCCCCCCTCCCAAGCCTGTGACACCACCACCGCCTCCCAAAGTCTTTGTATCAGTGGGTTGTCAGACCGAGTACGACCCGATCTTTCCACCAATGCAGGCACGGATCACATTTCTTCCTCTTCCTCTTTTCTGACCTTTTTCTAAACTTGAAGTTGTCTCACTCAGACATGGTGTGAGTCAATTAGTTCAAATATCCAGTTGCAGTTATATTTATGTGAACTAAATAACTCCCCAGCTCATTGGCTGAGTTTTTGACCTTGGGTTTCCATTCATGCCGACAGGTAGCCTCTGTAAAGCTTTGTCTGAAATCTGGTCAGTCCTGGTTATGAGAGGTGCTGACATTTAGAGGAGACTGAGATACTTTGTATTTCTGACATCTGACGGCGCCAAGGGCTGTGTGTTCAAAGTCGAGAGGAGATTTTAAGAGCTTAAAGGCGAGAAGAGTGTAACCCCTGTTCCTGTTACACTAACGGTCCAGCCATGCGCAGGAATGGTAGACTCGCAGTGCAACTGAAACCTAATCTAGCACATGACAGCACAGTTACGAACACAATTATAGCCGCTCCCACAAGGACTTCCGTCAACAGGTCCCACTCGGTTAGATTCCAGCATGTTGAAGTTGAATGCCATGCACCATCCCCTCTTTTATAATCCATAGTGTCTTTCTTGTTCTGTTGTAGACTTGTAGAGCAGGCGATTGATATGATTGAGTATAATTACCTTCATGTTGAAGGCTTGAGATGCCTGTCTATTTTACGTGTGTGTGTGTGTGTGTGAGGGAGAATACATGGAGCAGAGGTGCTATTTTTTCCCTCTGTGGAATGTCAGAGTCATGAAGCTCCAATAACCTCACCATCTGAGAAGGTCTGTTTGCTTACATTACAGTAGCCGGACACACATTCACACCCACCATTTTGATATACAAGAGTCATCATCAAAGCCTGCAAACATGGATTAGGATTGATGAGAACATAGTTGGTCCTAGTTCATATGTCCATGGCTTATTTGAGTATTTTTCTATCAATCATCGAGAAATAGTAGACAGCTACCGACCATCTAGATTGTTCACCTGTTTTAATACCAGAAATCCAGGGAGAGACCATTGTAAGGAACAATTGAAAAGACGGTTACATCAATTATATGAGGTTAACAAAATGATTTAATGTTACAACAAGGTAAGTCAAAGAAATGGTCATCCAAAGAATGAGAACGGTATATTGAAGCCACTTTGGTCTTTTATCTTCGTCAGATCCAGTCCCAGGGAAAGACCTCTCCTACCGGTCCCTCCAAACCGGCCAACAAGCTGGACAACATGCTGGGAAGCCTGCAGTCCGACCTCAACAGACTCGGGGTCCAGACGGTGGCTAAAGGTGTCTGCGGAGCCTGCAAGAAACCCATCGTTGGACAGGTAAAGATACTACTGAATCATACACAAACAATAAAGATTTAAACTGTAGCACATACTGAATTTAAACTTGCATACTTTAAGATACATTTATACTAGGTGTGTAACGAAGTCGCAATATTATGTACTAGTGCAATATTAAAATTGCAGGTTACACAATATTTGTTAAAGAATAATAAAGTGTTTAATACCATTATGAATGAAGTATTGTGAAGCTGCAGATATATCCCGGCCTACAAATCACATTAGACAGAATAAACAAAACAAAATTCTTCAGAAATAACACTATTATTACTATCAATATGTTGATATGATTCAAACATGATCAATCCCTCCAATACTATGAGTCATATCCATTTTGCAATATCAGTCAAAATATATTTTTCAAATCATGCAGCCCTTATGTACACACATGATTTATGTGGTTTACACGCACCCTTTCCAAAGATATAATAATTTAGAATATGCTTGTAAAACACCATCATTGCTTCTCTCTGTTAATAATGTGGTGAAAACAATTGACCTTCAGATGTGTTTGCACACGTCTGATGGGTGTTGTCTCATGTTGCAAGTATCTCAGACTGGGCCGATTGCTCAAGATCCAAACCATCAATATTTGAGCTCTTACTTACTTAATGGCAACCAATAAATGGAGCAATAGAGAAACAGATGTTACTTAGAGACTTAGAAGAGTAAAAATATTCTTTCTGTGAATCATGATCCAACTGAAATACACTGGGATTATTTTGTATACATAATATATCATTTTCATCTTTTAAACATGGCGTTATGAGATCTCTACCTGCTGCTGTTTGAAATATCCTCTTTGGTTTTTGCAAGCGAGGCTGCTGAGCAAGGCCTTTCTTCAGTCGCTCATTTTAATTTAATGCACTGTGTCCCCACACCAGGTGGTGACTGCCATGGGCAGGACGTGGCACCCCGAGCACTTTGTGTGCACCCACTGCCAGGATGAGATCGGCTCCAGGAACTTCTTTGAGCGTGAGGGACAGCCATACTGTGAGAAAGACTACCACCACTTGTTCTCACCACGATGCCACTACTGTAATGGACCCATACTGGATGTTAGTAATGCATACATTAACACACACACATACACACACCATGGATGGGTGGATAATGATATTTATTTATTCATAACTTAATGGATTAAGGCCATGCTGGAAAAATCACTACATGTCGGGAATTCCCCTTATTTCTCATCATTGAGAGTTGATTAGACAGGCACACACACACACACACACACACACACACAATCCTTAAGGCAATAGGAGTGAAGGGACTTCTAGTAGCTTTTTGCATGCAAATTGACTTCCTCTTATGTCTTCCTCACTGCCTGCTAGGCCTCTCTCGCTTGTCAGCACTCATTCTTATCTTCATCGTGACACACGCCCATTGGGAGATTTGGCCTTTTATTCAGACACACACACACAAACCACACAAAGTGCTAGAGGTACTCTAAGGGAAGTGAACATTGGGACCTGGGGAGAGGTCATAATGAGAAACTGTGTACTTCCCTTTCAGTACTTTTCTCTTTCTTCAACTCAGAATATTTTACATTCAAACCTTGGTTTTTCAATGATTATCAGGGTTGAAGGTGGTATTGTATCACTTAGAGGTCTAAGGAAACCACTACATTTAGAATATAAAAGTATATTTGGATATTCTCAATGTATTGGTTTTGGATCTATTTGTACAGAAAATGATTTTTGAAGCTTGTCCTCCCTAAAAGAAAAACGCCTCTTTTCCAACACTGCGACCCCTTGTAATTATTGTCCTGCTGAAATAAACTTAGCAGCTGTGAATGTTTTTAAAATGTGTTGTTACACAGACAATGTTCTTCTAGCTGAAGCTGCGGAGAAATGCTATCAGGCCTGGAAAACATGAAGTAACAGTCCTAGCATTCCAGCACCGCCCACACTGCCTCTGTAGACTTGGTCTGCCCCCTCCTGGCCTCTGGCTCTCATGTGTTGGATACTCCCATAATTAAATACATAAATGCATATACTGCGGCCTGACTTTCTTTTAAAGCGCGATGAGGAACTACCTTTCCCCCCAGATGTTTCTGAGGCACAGTTTTTAAGCAGACATGTAATGATCTACCATTTGGTTCTCTTATGTTTTACAGAGAGTAGTGACAGCTTTGGACAAGACTTGGCATCCAGAGCACTTCTTCTGCGCCCAGTGCGGAGCCTTTTTCGGACCCGAAGGTACCAACTGCTCATGAATTAATAACACAACACCTGGCTTGTGTAGAAAAAAAGAACAATGCTGAGTTTTCATTAACCGAAAGAAGCATGCAGAGTGAATAACTGAGTCTTTGCTGCCCTCTAGGTTTCCATGAGAAGGATGGGAAGGCGTACTGCAGGAAGGACTACTTTGACATGTTTGCCCCTAAATGTGGAGGCTGTACCCGTGCCATCCTGGAAAACTACATCTCTGCCCTCAACTCACTCTGGCACCCTGAATGCTTCGTCTGCAGGGTGAGTCACTCATGCATCTGTAACGAATTCGGGTATTTTTGTTTTAAGTAAGCATTATAACTTCTACTTCCTCTTCTCTGAATTTCCAGGAGTGCTTCACGCCATTCGTAAACGGCAGCTTCTTTGACCATGACGGTCAGCCTTACTGCGAGTCTCACTACCACGAGCGGCGCGGCTCGCTGTGCTCCGGCTGCCAGAAGCCCATCACAGGCCGCTGCATCACCGCCATGGCTAAGAAGTTCCACCCGGAGCACTTTGTGTGCGCTTTCTGCCTGAAGCAGCTCAACAAAGGCACCTTCAAGGAGCAGAACGACAAGCCCTACTGCCAGGGCTGCTTTGTTAAACTCTTTAGTTAGACTGTGTGGTTGCGTTTAAATGTGTAAGTACGCGCGTATGCACATTTCTGAATGCACGTGTGGGATGTGTGTGCACTCACATGTCTAGCATGAGTCAGTTTGACCCTCGACACCGAAAGGTCCTCTGGCTGTCCAACCTCTCAGGCTTGGCATTTCACACTTTTGCTAAAAGACGTTTTGAACAGAGCCCAAAGAGATTTTTATTTAGAGTTCTTCTGTGCTAATTTCCCCTTTCACGTGTGTACATAAATAAGCATATGGCTGTTGAGTTGAGACCTCAGAGCCCTGATTTTGAAAATGATTAAATTCCCCCATAGCAGGGCAAGACTTTTCACTCTATGGTGGTTTTATGCAGATATGAGAAGCTGCTCAATTGCATGGAGTTGACTTCAGCAGTTTATACGCAGAATCTGTTGAGTGTTGAATAGTGCTTGGCAAATCATCAGTGTTAGAATGATCTGTGAAAAATATGTATTTTTCTAGCTTTGGAAACAATTGAGGTGCCATTTAAAAAAATATATAAATTGAAACTCTCCACATGTAAACAGACACACACTGAACTCCTTTTTCACTTCTTTAAAATACCAGTGTAAACTCTTTAAACACTCCAACACAGATCTCTTGATGAGACGTCTTAAGGTGCATTTTACAGGTGTCGGCAAGATATTAGCTAGTCCTTATTTTTCTACTGTTTTACTACGAAAAAGAACCCACGTGATTTCTCAGTTTCAGAAAACATTACATTTACATTACTCTTGTTAATTAACATATAGATAAGTTGCCATTTGTTTCGCTGTAGCAACTCGGAACTGTTTCATTTTTTGCTACCCCACCGCAAAGGGTGTGTTGTGTCAATCACATTAATAACCATCAAAAAATGCAAACGGTTTTGACAAAAAGTAGGTCAATAACAAAAACATATGTACCGTACTATGATTATTAAAGTTGAACGTAAGGTGCAAGTTTTAGCCAACATTTATTTTTACTCCAGTTTTAATGTGGAGATTCTATCTTCTGAATGTAAACACACAGAAAAAGAAAAGAATAAATGACAGTTTAATTTACGATTGCTACTGTGTGAATTTATCACTATTAATAAGGCTGGTTTTAAATACGGTTGTGCATTTGGATTAGAGGCATGCTTTCTTTTGTTTGGAGTTTTATCAGCAGTAGCTGCCAGTTGCTGTTACAATCACAATCTAAATTTGTATACCTGTAATATGCTCCACTTTGAGACAGAACTGTGTTTTGATGAAAATATATATATTTTTTGAGATGTTGTGGCTCACACTGATATGCAAAGAGCTGGCTCTATTGGCATGTAGGCTCTCAATAGTTTACCCTATTCTTACACACACAACACCAACCAGCTTTGATTCCAGTGTGTCAGACTTCCAATGAAACGCAGCCCTTATTATTTTCTTTGTGAGTCCTAAACTGTGATCTTGCTGTCTGAGCTGGAGTCAGCACTTGGCTCACTGATGGATGCAGCCGGGTGTTAGCTGGTCAGGAATCAGAATACAGGGCCAAGCCTCTAGCAACATTGATGTATAACTCATTTCATCTTTATTTTCCCTGTTGCTCGATTTTGCCACATATATGAAACAATTGGCGTTTTGTTTTTTCGGACAATATTAATTGTCTTTATGATCACTATGCGTGTATCCACATTTGGATTGTTTTTATTTTGATAAAATGTTTGCTCTTGTGCCAAATGTGACAATGCAATAAGGTCTTATACACTGTGGTGGAGTTCTCAACCCTTCCTGTGATTTGACTCTTTATGGGCTGAACTCCGGGAGAGGCTTCGTCTGCTGCGGTGCATCTTAACTCATAAACGTTTACACTGTAATAAACAGTTGAGTCAGATTTACAGGAAGTAGCAGGGGGGAAGTGAACAGGAATTGTGAGTTAATGTTGCTCCATGTATATTTATCTGCTTACAGATTATTGCCTTATTGTTTTTGCTTCTGTCAAAGAATTCATTAAAAAAAAATCTACGCCTTTTATTAATGAGATTAAGTGAATTTGTAAATGGAGACATTCATGTGATCCTTTACCATTTACATTTTCTCACGAGCCACACATTTTACTGGCTCTTTGTGTGGGTGGGGTGAAAGCCTATGTGGGTCCTGATTACTGACTGATTATTATACCTGCTGCGAATAAAATAAGTACTTTATTTCTGGTACTGTTTTGTTTTAAAAGTGATTTCTCTTTCCACCATTTTTTTCTAGTCACTGTTTGCATTGAACCAAGTCTTTAGTATACAAGATGTCCATGTAATATTAAAAAAGAACTTGAGTGGAAACTATTTCGATGTATTCATTTTTATTTATTAGTAAGATTGAATATGATAACCAACATTCATTTCAGTTATGAGTGGAAATAAGATGTGATGCAGAACTAAACAAGTTCAAGCTCCACATTAATTAATAAGCTGTTTCACAAAAAAGTACAGAATCAGAATTGATTGCAATACAAGGAATGAATTATAAGTCTCTCTTTGTGTGTACATCAAGCATTTTTAGTTAATAGTCCGTTAATTAAGGGAAAATTGGGTGATCAAGTAATTTACAATTTGTATTAAATTAACATTTATTTCAGCTCTATTATACTCCTATTAGTTATCGGCCCCTGGCACTACATGACCCCTTTTTAGAGGGTGGTCCCCTTATTGGGAACTCTGGATTAAGGTTAACAATGACAAGGCACCACATATGAGCTGTGCAATTTGAAAATGTGTATTTGTTTGAGGTTCACACATGTTCACACTTTTAAAAAAAATCCCAGATATGCATTTGACCCCGAAAATATGGAAATAATCCGACTGGCCTGCTAAAACAGAGCAGTTCAATTCACCTGACAAACACAAGGACAAGTCAGCACATCTCTCTTGCGAGGAGACGTTGTTATCTGAAGTCTGAAGTTTGTGAGAGCTTGGAGCTTTCTGGTGAGCTCAGAGAGGTGCGGGCGGATATCCAGAATCTCCAAGTATTCCAGGTCCTTCAGCTGGTGAAGTTGTAAGAAATCTCTCTCTGATACGTATCCATGCCGCAGTTTGAGACTTTTCAGGTTTGGAAACAGTTGTGGGATTCGAGCTGCCTGAGCTCCTAAATGTGAGGGCCAGGGGTCAATGTGAAGGTGCAGGAGATTTGGTACCTGCACTGACACCGCCTCCATGTCCTGTGGAGACAATCCTGCAACACACAGAGTGAGACTGGTCACTGTGGCTGGAATGGATGTGACATATTTTTTAACAGGCGGGCCCTTGACTATGACCAGTGTTGACAGTTGAGAGAGGTCCCTCAGCCAGGTTTTTAGGTGACCGCCATCTGTTGCTAGCAGTCCTTCTATCATCTGGTGATGTGAGTATCTGTGGAAAACAGCAAGACGCTTCAGGCCAGGCATTCGCTGCATTGCATCTGCTTCAAATGAGTGAGCCGTGCAGTCGATAAGTTCCAAACTGGACAAGACTGAGGCCCCATCTCCGACTGGGGGACCTGGGCTTGGTCTGGACCTATTGTGAAAGGTGCACAGTGTATACCCAACGGACAAAGAGAGATGTGTAAGCATAGGCAGACGGGTAAGTATGGAGGGAACGTGAACCATCCACAAAGTCTCTTCAACGAGTCTCGCTTTATGATAGACTAGAGATGTAAGATTTGGAAACGGGCGGACAGCTGAAATTAAGCTACACCCTGCTATAGTGGGAAGTTTAACATCACACATGCTCAGGTGAGTCAGCTGCCGGGGTTCATACACAGTGGAACCATCTAGCAAAAGAGGAGTGCCACTGCCTCTAATAGCCAGACGCTTCAGATGTGTGCATTCCTTTAAGAAGCTGAGGCTTGCTTGGGAGCTTTGGTCCGTTACCACTGTGGTGAGAGTAGGAAGGGACGAGGCCAGCCGTTTCAGGTCCTTAGTTCTGGTGCCCCTCAACACCACACTGGTGACTTTTCTGCGGCGCAGAGTGCCCCAAAACTGACTGTTAGAATATCCCTTATGGTAACCCAGAACCACCGACCAGTCTTTCCAAAGAGATCCGTGGTCAACAAGTTTTTTGAAATACTTGCAGGCTGTCCGGACGCTAAACTTGTCTTCCGCTGAGAGATAACCAAAAACGTGGCTCCAGACCTCTGCCGGGAGTTGTGGTGCCGGCTGTGTCATCGCTTGTTTGTTTAATCAATGGTTTTCATCTGCCATAAACCCAGTTTAAAAAAGACAGAAACATAGTTCTTTAAACCGATCTTGATCGTTGAAACGGATGAGTGTTTGTCACTTTGGTTTCGTGGGATTTCCCCATAGGATTTCCTCATAGACCCACTGTATATATAAAGGATTTCCCACGAGGCAGGTGATAGGAAGTGATCGGCATAGCAACCAACCAATAGCTATGAAGCTGACGCCCATACGCCCTTGTGAGTGACATAGCAACCAACCAATAGCTATGATGCTGACGCCCATATTCTTTTGTGATTGACAAAGAAACCAACCAATAGATTTCAAGTGGACGCCCATACTCCCTTGTGATTGACATAGCAAACAACCAATAGCTATGAAGATAATGCCCATACTCTCTTGTGATTGGTCACTTATTTTGTATAAATTCTGCTTGCGTCAATTCCTGTTTCTCTTTCTTTCACGCGACCCTCTAGTCACGGTAAGGCCTGCTCCTGCTATTCTAGGAAACAAAAATAAACCTTTTCTTTTAAACGGAGAAGGGCCACATACGGCTTTTGGTATAACAACAACCACTTATAGCACTAACATATATGTTATGGTTCCTGTAAAAGCACGGCGTGGTTACTGGGCCTACTCAATACATCGCTAGCTGTTAGCCGGCTAACGTTAGCAGTCGGCCACATGGCATGTTGTACAGATCACGTAGCCTATGTTCCGTTTTATACATCGCATCTAACAAAGTTGTTATTCTTTCCCTGGAGAAGTGAATTCAACGGTCACTATCATGTTGATACTTTTGAGTCGTTTTGATCTAGCAGGATAAGTTACAATGCAGCTTGTTTGGTACTGCTTTGTCGTTCCCCCTGCGCACAATAAACTGTTTCCTCGCTATACCTGTCAGTTAGCATCACTCGACTGCCAGGCACGAAAGGTTTCAGACATTTAATTTTTTATTCATTTCTGGAGGATATCAAAAATCAATGTCTACTAGTAAGAATGCAAATTCTTGATATCAACAATTCTTATTAGTAATGTTTATTTCTGATATCAGAAATTAAATTGTAACTAGTTGTAATGTGTATTTCTGATATCAGAAATACTCATTCATTTCAATGGGAGTTGGAATTTGAACTAGTAAAAATACCAATTTCTGATATCAAGAATTCAATCTCAACTAGTCGAAATGCCAATTGTTTATCAGAAATACAATTTTATAACTAGTTCCAAATCCTTTTTTTGATATCAGGAATTCAATTGTAAATATGAATTATAACTACTTGCCATAGAAGGGTTTCATATGGACTAGTTAGCACTTGGCCACATGTCATGTTGTACAGATCAAGTATGTTCCGTTTTATACATCACATCTAACAATGTTTTTATTCTTTCTGCAGATATTACCTTGTCTTTAAATCAGCTGTTCAGCGATCCTTGGAAGCACTGCAAAGATGCCCAGGGAAGACAGGGCCACGTGGAAGTCCAACTATTTTTTGAAAATCATCGTAAGTAGGACTTGACTTATGTAAGTTGTTATCAACACAGTATATATTTTCCACTAAGATTTTTACGGAATATGTATTTGATTGATGTTTATCTCTTTGTAGCAACTTCTGGATGATTTCCCCAAATGCTTCGTTGTGGGTGCAGACAATGTCGGCTCCAAGCAGATGCAGACCATCCGTCTGTCTCTGCGAGGAAGGGCTGTGGTGCTCATGGGCAAAAACACCATGATGCGCAAAGCCATTCGTGGACACCTTGAGAACAATCCTGCCCTGGAGAAGTGAGTTCAACGGTCACTATCATGTTGATACTTTGAGTCGTTGTTTTGATCTAGCAGGATAAGTTACAATGCAGCTTGTTTGGTACTGCTTTGTCGTTCCCCCTGCACACAATAAACTGTTTCCTCGCTATACCTGTCAGTTAGCATCACTCGACTGCCAGGCACGAAAGGTTTCAGACATTTAAACCGTTTTCATTTAATAATTGATTGTCATATCTGCCAACAAATCTAATAATGAATTCCATAATTTAACAGGCTTCTGCCTCACATTAAAGGAAATGTGGGCTTTGTCTTCACCAAGGAGGATCTGACTGAGGTTCGGGACCTGCTGCTGCACAACAAGGTGAGAAATTGAATAAAAGAATGGCCCTTACACCACCACTTTACTCCGTTGTTAACCCACACAACGTTTGCTATTGATGGCTCCTAAAGTAACTTTGTTAACTTAAGATGTTTGAAGTTGCCCGTTATTGGCTATACCTGGCAAACTAATGCAGTCTTAATTGTTAGAATTATGCTGAAAGTTTCGACTCAAATCTTAAATGGACAACCACATAATGCAATTACTAGTGATTTGGTTAACTGTTTTGTTCACTCTAAAGAACAGGATTCAGACATTTTTAAGTGCAGGATAAGTTACAATGCAGCTTGTTTGGTACTGCTTTGTCGTTCCCCCTGCAAACATTAACTGATTCCTCGCTATACCTGTCAGTTAGCATCGCTCGACTGCCAGGCACGAAAGGTTTCAGACACACTTTAATAAAAACTTAAACCTCCATTATGGAGTCCTAAACTGACTTTTCACAAATCCCCAGGTGCCTGCAGCTGCCCGTGCCGGAGCCCTCGCCCCTTGTGAAGTCACCGTGCCAGCCCAGAACACTGGTCTGGGGCCTGAGAAGACCTCCTTCTTCCAGGCTCTGGGTATCACCACCAAGATCTCTAGGGGAACCATTGAAATCTTGGTGAGCTTAAAACCCTCTTACTATATTGGTTAGTATTTCACTGACTAATTGACATGCTGGATGGATTGCCTCATGTAAATCTGCGACCTTATGTCCCAGACTTGTTAGCATAATGTATACAATTGTTTACCAGCAGCTAACAAGCATTTCTCTCTCCAGAATGACGTCAATCTGATCAAGACCGGCGACAAGGTTGGTGCCAGCGAGGCCACGCTCCTCAACATGCTGAACATCTCTCCCTTCTCCTTTGGACTC